GTGTGTGTCATAGAGACCAAATGAAGGAAGCAGATATGGAGGAAGGAAGGAGATAAAGACAGGAGAAGGGAATGCATAAATATTTTGGGGAAATACATTCCATGTTGGTTTGCTGATGAAGCTTAATTATTTGAACAGCTGAGCACACAGTGTTGCTTACATTACAATACAACACAAGCATGACTGGAAAACTACTACTGAACATGCGCCGCAAGGATATTTCTAAAGAGTATTATACAAACACTACAACAGGGTGTCTTTATAAGAGAGTATAGCAGTGATACATGAATACTGTGACAAACTTCCATATAAATATTTCATGTTTTTACAGGAATATCATGAGAATATTGAAGAAATCATGCTGTAATGCAGCACAAACACAACATTAAATCTACTGAGTGCACTATGAGGATGACACATTACATTCATTAAGCTCTTATCAGTGTAAAATCACTGTTGAGTATCACTGACACGCTTTATGTCCCTGTATGTATTCTGTATGTATAGTGCAAAACTCCCGTAGTGAAATCGGTGTCTTAATCATTTTCTTCTCCCATGAGCAAACCATCTGCCAGGCACTTACCAACTTTACTTTGACATGGGTAAACATACACAATCAAGACATCGGCTGCCTCTGTGAGCGCATCTACCGCCATATGACAGTATTTTAAAGTTTAATTTTAAAGATTCACTTTCACTCACCGCACCGCAGCCGTCTTCTCTCTCGTAGCTTTTTCTTGCAGGAAAATTCCTCTGAGCCTGTCGGAGTCGTCCGTCAGGTAATGCTGCCGCAGTTATCGCTCTTTTCCATTTTTATTGCCGCAGATAACTTACCGAAGTTAGACTTCAAACTCTGCAACATGCAGCGCTACATGTACGGCTGTCACTGTGACGTCAGCGAGCGCGGATCACATGACAGGAAGTGGAGCTGTGGGACGTAAACAACTTTACAACACTAACCATGAGGTCTGCTACGGTGGCCCTCTATTGTTTTTACTACCCTACATTAACCTGGCTGTTCACACAGCTCACACACACCTAAATCTGTGTACGTGTGTCCTTATCTGTCAGTTTAGCCTACTCATGCCTCCTTGCATGTTTTTCACTGTTACTCATCTTTCTTGACCTTTTGTCTGTGGTTGACGCCTGCACAGTGACTCCCTAACGTCTGTCTGTCTGTCTTAAGTGCATTAGTATTACAGTTTTTCTCAAATGCTAAAACACATTTCACAAACGTTTCCTCTATGTTCCCCAATGTCTAAACACAACACCCTTTTCTAAAGCTACATAAACACAACCACACCTTCTCACTTCAAAACTCAAACTTTCACACCAAAAGAGCAGCTCTAAGCTTTCAAAAATGTAAACACTATACACATCTTTACACACTACAGCAAAACAATTGAAAACACAATGCTCAATTTGTGAGAAGGTTCTTTGTTTCATAACTGCCAATGCATATTTTTTTAGAAACTTTACAGTAACGGATCTTCTTAGATCTCTGTAGAGGATTAGGCATTTAGATTTGTGAGTTTCATATGAAGAGTATAAATCTATAGAAAATACTGCATGTACACTACTGTAACACAACTCAATGCAAAAACAGAATCTATTGCACACAACAACTCTTGAAAACATGTTCAGGGTGTGAAGTTTTTTTATTTACTTTATTCACACCACAATCACTGTGCGGCATCATGTCGCTGAGCTGCATCGGGCCACATCACTTCATCCACATCGCAGGCTATATTTTCTCTTGCCAGGCACCGCGGGAAAAACCCCCTGGAATGGCGAATCCATCCTTGGAAGGCCTCCACTGGGATGTCAGCACAGGCCAGCTCCATTGCCCTTAGGAGGTTCTCTCTAGTGTATGGTTGTCTGTCATAAACCTTCCATCTCCACGATGAGAAGAACTCCTCTATAGGGTTCAGGAAAGGGGAGTAGGGTGGCAGACAGACGTTTAAAAACTGGTTACTGTTGGTGGTGAACCACTCTCTGATTTGGTTTGTTCTGTGGAAGCGGACATTGTCCCAAATGATCACATAAATGGGATGTGCGGGCCCAGGATGGTGTTGTTGGCGGTCCAGGAGGATGTCTTTTAGCTCCTCTAGGAAGGTGAGGAGACGTTGGGTGTTGTAAGACCCAAGGACAGCATGCCGGTGGACAAGCCCCTCCGAACCCATGGCCGCACAAAGAGTAATATTACCCCCCCGTTGGCCAGGAACCTCAGTGATGGCTCTTTGGCCAATGATGTTACGGCCTCTTTGCCTTCGTTTCTGCAAGTTGAAGCCAGCCTCATCCAGGAAGAGGTACTCATGAGGTCTGGCCATCGCGTCCAACTGTAATATCCTCTGTGAAAATGTGAAAGTGCACAGGTGTTCAGAACAACAGTCAATCAGGTAGCACAGTATTGTCCAGAAGTAATGTAGGCCACTGAGCAACACAGTATGTCCACTAACTGTACTGTGAACATGGATGTATACTTACTTGCACATACTCGTAACGTAGGTCTTTGTGTCGCGCAGAGTTGCGCTCAAAGGGAACCCTATAGACCTGTTTCATCCGCATCTTTTGGCGCCGGAGAACTCGGTCTATTGTGGCCAAGCTGACATCATCAATGCTCTCAAAGTTGACATTATCGGCAATGACTTTGTCTCTGATCTCCCGGAGTCTGATGAGGTTGTTCTCACGAACCATATCCACAATGAGGGTTTCTTGTGCCGCTGTAAATATGGCAGCCCTCCCACCTCTATGTGGCATTCTTTCAACTCTAAAGACAGAAACATGTGTTGTCAATTGACATGTTTTACAATAACAACTGATTTGAAACCAATAGACTACTTTCACAGGCTTGTAAAACTGTATTGTGACAAAGAAAGCAATAGAGTACAATACCTGTTGTGTTGTCTGAATGCCCTGATAATGTTGGCCACGGTGAACCTACTCAGGTTTGGACGGACTCTTAGTCCTGCTTCAGCCATTGTCATGCCATGGACAATGACATGGTCAATGACTGTTGCTCGCATCTCGTCTGTAATGATGGTGCGAGGTTGTCTTGCTCTTCCTCCTGGACCTTCTCCTCTCCCTCCTGGACCTTCTCCTCTTCCTCGTTGGCCTGCTCCTCTTCCTCCTCTGATTTGAACTCCTCTTCCTCGTTGGCCTGCTCCTCTTCTTTCATGGCCAGCTCCTCTCCCTCCTCTGACTCGGATTCGTCTTCCCCTGACTCTGCCTTCATCCATTGTGTTTGTTTGGAAACTGTGCACTCTGAACTTGCTTTTATACATGTGGTCACAGCATTAGCAACAGGTGTCTTCAATTTTGAGTCGTTGTGTGTAATGAATGACGCCAGGTGTGTTCATTGTGTTCAAATATTGCTGACTGTGGCAAGCATTTTGCATCACATGAGCTTTCATTTGAGAATATGAGCAGAGTTCTTTTGCAACTTGTGTTTTAGCAAGGAAAAATGTGTTTAGATTTATGAGAACGGAGGATTGTGTTTTGTGAATTGTGTCTTCATGTGAAATGTGTTTATGATATTGGCAAATGATGGCTAGATTTAGTAAATGTGTTTAGACAACTGGTCATTTGGTTTAGAGGATTGGCTTTTGTGTTTTAGCATTTGAGAAAAACTGTAATAGAAAAATCGACTCAAAAGTATAAGTCCTCATTATGCAGAGTGCCCCCTGTGTGTTTTATTAATGTAGGCTATATTACAGGCGTTATTAATATGAAATAATGTGCATGCAATCTTGTAATGTTTTTTAAGTTACTTGATTAATCTTCATTTAATCAGGAAGTCTGCACCTTTTCAAGAAAAATCTGGCCACAATAGCAGCTGAAAAACCTTTTTAACAACTCATTTAACTTCACCCCCCTCATGGCAACAGGACCAATAGTAGTGGCTTCCCGAGCACAACAATGCATACACGCCACATCACAAAAACTGCTCAGGAATGGCCTGAGGGACGTGACAAAGAGCTCAAGGCATCGACCTGGCCTCCAAATTCCCCAGATCCTAATCTGAACAACCATGCACAACAGGACTCAAAGAATCCTCCAACACCCTGGTTCCAACCACCACAGGACACCTTTTCCATGCCTTGACAGGTTAGAGCCGAGTCTGATCCAACTGTGAATCTGGGTGTCCTCTGGGGTACCGGCATGTGATGGATCAGATTAGGATCTGGGGAATTTGGAGTCCAGGTTGACATCTTGGGGCCATTCTGAGCAGTTTTTGTGGGGCGACATGGGGCATTGCCATCGCGGGGAGTGCCATTGTCATAGTGCAGGGGCAGGGGGGGTTGGTGTACTTGGTCTGAATTGGTGTTTGGGTGGGTGAAGCATCATGTAGCATCAACATGAATGCAAGGACCCAAGATTTCCAAAAAGAACATTTTATTGTAAGATTGTTATTCACTTCATCTGCCAGAGGTTTTAATGTTTTTGGTGGATATACCTGGCACAAGGGATAGTGACATCATCTATGGAATAGCAGATTGTGGGTTTAAACCCCAGTTTGAGCATCCAGCTACACACAAACCTATCTCAGAATATGAGCGAGAGTAATAAAACTCAGCGTAGACGTCACCTGGGTTAACCAGAACTTGAGGAAGACACACACACCCCTCATTTCCATTTTGCACTCCTGCCAAAAGTTTGCTTTGTGTTTATGCCAATAGGTTACAACACAATACAAATGTTTTTTCATTTAGCACAAACAGGCTAAGCAGTGACTTTAAGAACATTACAGTTAAAAGTGGGTCAAAAATGAAAATGAAAAACAGAAATCAATATCAAAAAGACGTGAAAGCTAGTGTCAGTTTTCAGGTATTTTGTCCAGGATGCCCTCATCTGAAGTCTGAGTCATCCACCTGGAGAAACTTGACACGTTGACGTTGGGGGTAAAGACAACAGGCAGGGTGCTGAGTGGTTCTTTTGAGCATAACGTTAATCTGAGTCAGGAATCATCCAGTGATATGAAAAAGCAAAAAACAGCAAAGTGTTTTGGGAATATTCCTTTTATTTCATTCAAAATGTCACAATTATGTACATCTGTCTAACAGCCAGTGTGTGATGCACACTTGTTGGGTTATATGATGATCACCCTGATTTTTAAAAGCATTTACTGTGATCCCTGAGCGTAAACATGCAGCAAAATTACTTTGTGGAGGTATGAAAGTAGTTTGAATATATTATTCTCCTTTGGAAGAGAGCTGTGTGTGTCCCAGCCATCACTAGAGAGAGATGTTAACAGAATTAAAATGAATGAAAGAGAGCAGCTTTGCCACACATAAGATTTGGTAAAGGATTACATGTGTCAACATTGTAGGTGAAGAGATATATAGAGTGAGAGTGAAAAATATGCAGTGCTCCAGGAATGAAACCTAAAGCCCGGATATGAGTTAGCATTTTAGCACTCCTGGTTCCCTCATCTTTACGTCAAAGGGTTTATTGAAAGGGTTTTTAGTTAGATGCCTGAAATAAGGTCTGTGGTTAACACAAGCTTGAGAGACTTTCATGTTTTGTTTTATGTCGTAAATACGTCAGAAAATTTCCCCACTTGTGAATTTTAAAGCCTGCACTTGCCTTTATGATAGAAAAGGCGGATGCTAAGTGGCTAAATGAGAGTACTGTGTGTCATCACGCCGAACACAACTTTAACGTCTTGTTGTGATGGCGACTTTACGTCATGCATCCATGGTGTAGTTTGTTTATAGGCTAACGTTAGCTTTTTACTTCTGGTGACTGCAAAATTGGTATTGCTTTGTGAAGATTATCTTGCTTAACAACACATGTAAATGTCATAAACTTCTGTTTTCCACAGAGCTTATTTTCTGCAGAAATCCAAAATTTAATGGAAAAATTGAACAACGGCAACATTAACTTCCCTGTTGGCCTATAAAACACATCATCCTTAATGCACTCTATTTAGTGTTATTATATTGTCTAACATCTGTCTGTCATGTGTCTACAGACTTGTGTCATTGTTTGTTATAAGCCAAAATACTCAAATTGACCAGAGTTACAGTTTAACTCAGTGACTTTCAACTGGTTGGTTGTGGGTCTGTTCTGAGTGGACCGCAAGTGACTCACGAGTTTGTAAAAAACACACTTTATATTGAAGTACAGTAAATTTCAGGCACAGAGCTTTTATTTTGAAGTGCCATTTTCTGTTGTAGATTTAGTGATTAGTGGACAGATACTTTACAGAGACAACAGACTAACTCAATGACATGGCCAAACGCAAGTATGACCCTGAATGTATTATACTGTGTGGACCTTGAACTAATGACTAAGAAATCTGGACCAGTTGGGAACCACTGGTTTTACTGATAAGTCAACAAAGCGAAACTATTTCAATTTGCAGGTTCGGCATGACGAAGTACAGTCCCGCACTAGTTTGCATTTTCTCGCTAGTGTTCAAATGTTACCTTCCTGCTTCTTGTGTCTTCATCTTTCCTTGGTGTTGGCAGTCTTAATATTTCTTTGCCATAATAATTCTATCAAATTGTTTCTTCACGGTTCCTGCTGAATTGTATCTCAGCCAATGAGTTTATTCCTACATCTGAAAACTGTTTGTACTGGATGCCTCAGGCCAGGGTAGACATTATTTATACATCATATGTGGCAATAAATAACATAATACGTGTCAATTCCAATTAGAGTTGTATTTCTATATAATAACTGCCCAAAAAGGCATTGTACATGCAGATAATATTAATTTCATGTACACTTTCAACCCTGAAAATATAACTTCCTATGCACTGTTGACGACACAAATCCCCACATTATCATGGAAACTTTATATGTGCTGTATTCTTATAATGTCACTTGTTACATGCAAGAGTGCAATTCTGAATTACAAATGCTCACCAGGACGTGCATCACCAATTGAGGAAACATTCATTTTATATTTGTACCTTTCATGCTGATTCTCTATTCAGAAGAACCTATGGAGGAAGACTAAGTGCAACAGTTGATCCAGCTTCAATCAGCAGAATTATAAGCAGCCAAACTTGCAGGTCAAGAGTCAAAGGTGAGGCAGAAATTCTCCAGTCATTGACAAAAGTGCTTTGTAGAGAAATAAGAGCCTGAGAGGAAAATATCAAACTTGTCTCTTTCTTGGGTGGACAACATTTCTGTTTTTTTTTTCTCTATCCAGAATCATCAGAGTCGTACAGTAGACTGAGCTCCTCTTGGACGTCAACGTCTGATGAAGTCTTCTCTGTTATTTTGAGTAGTGTGCGAATGGAGATTCCTCATTCACTTTGCCCTGGAGAGATGAAAGGAAACAGCAAAACGGTTAGAAGGAGCAAAACATTTTCATATTAACCTGCAACCAGCGTGGTGTTAAAACGCCTGTTTAGAACATCTGGTGTTTCAAACCTGCTTTTGTCTTGACCTTTACCCGTCTAACATTGTGTTCACCTATTTGGTAGAGCACATTTTGAGTCACTATATCTTAATGAAAAATTTGTTGAACTTAACTCAACCTATTTGACCTATCTCTACCATTCGGTTTAGGTAAGTTATGCTGAAAAAAATTCACTAGATGTTGCTATGTCTTTTAACAGGATGCCTTTTCAGTCCGCCTCCTGCAAGAGGTTGGAAACAAAAAGACATGTGGGCTGTGTGTGGTGGGATTTTCAAAGGTAGGCATGTTTATTCAGCATGTTATAGTTTCAGAGATCTTGCTGAACAAATTCATGTAACTTTATACAAAATGTAAAACTCTAATAAGGGTTAAATAATCTTTTGCAAACAAGTTCTACCAAACAGTTCATTTATTCTTTTGTGGTAAAGGTAGTGAAGCTAAGCTAATGTAACTAAAACTGAGTATTTGCTACAAAAAAAATAGAAAATAAATACATTTCTGATCGTTCGCTGTTGTTAAATGATACATTTAATGGTATCCATTGTATATATGCCAAAATAATTTCATATTAATAATATGTATTTCAAATAAATAAAGGCAGTGATGCTAAGATAATAGATGTATTTTCTATAAAATAAAAAAGATCATATATATATCATATAGCTAATGTTCTTCCATTATATATTTGACGAAAAGAATTATATTGGAATTTTCAGCAATTCTGAGATGCTTTCAAAGTGCCTCTACTGGTGAATAAATATGTGGAAATAATACTAATACTGGTAATATAACTAATTCAATGGTAACAAATTGACACACTGGTATACTAACATATTACTATACTATACTATATTACTATTATTATTATAACAGACAGAAAAAAAATCTAAATTACAAATCATGTACTGTTATATAAATACCATGAAGTGACATCTCAACCATTTGGTGGAAGCCTATATTTAAAAAACTATGGGGTCTGATAATAAATAAATAAATTAATTAAATTAAATTAAATTAAATTAATATATACAGTACAGGCCAAAAGTTTGGACACACCTTCTCATTCAATGCATTTTCTTTATTTTCATGACTATTTACATTGTAGGTTCTCACTGAAGGCATCAAAACTATGAATGAACACATGTGGAGTTATGTACTTAACAAAAAAAGGTGAAATAACTGAAAACATGTTTTATATTCTAGTTTCTTCAAAATAGCCACCCTTTGCTCTGATTACTGCTTTGCACACTCTTGGCATTCTCTCCATGAGCTTCAAGATGTAGTCACCTGAAATGGTTTTCCAACAGTCTTGAAGGAGTTCCCAGAGGTGTTTAGCACTTGTTGGCCCCTTTGCCTTCACTCTGCGGTCCAGCTCACCCCAAACCATCTCGATTGGGTTCAGGTCCGGTGACTGTGGAGGCCAGGTCATCTGCCGCAGCACTCCATCACTCTCCTTCTTGGTCAAATAGCCCTTACACAGCCTGGAGGTGTGTTTGGGGTCATTGTCCTGTTGAAAAATAAATGATCGTCCAACTAAACGCAAACCGGATGGGATGGCATGTCGCTGCAGGATGCTGTGGTAGCCATGCTGGTTCAGTGTGCCTTCAATTTTGAATAAATCCCCAACAGTGTCACCAGCAAAACACCCCCACACCATCACACCTCCTCCTCCATGCTTCACAGTGGGAACCAGGCATGTGGAATCCATCCGTTCACCTTTTCTGCGTCTCACAAAGACACGGCGGTTGGAACCAAAGATCTCAAATTTGGACTCATCAGACCAAAGCACAGATTTCCACTGGTCTAATGTCCATTCCTTGTGTTTCTTGGCCCAAACAAATCTCTTCTGCTTGTTGCCTCTCCTTAGCAGTGGTTTCCTAGCAGCTATTTGACCATGAAGGCCTGATTGGCGCAGTCTCCTCTTAACAGTTGTTCTAGAGATGGGTCTGCTGCTAGAACTCTGTGTGGCATTCATCTGGTCTCTGATCTGAGCTGCTGTTAACTTGCCATTTCTGAGGCTGGTGACTCGGATGAACTTATCCTCAGAAGCAGAGGTGACTCTTGGTCTTCCTTTCCTGGGTCGGTCCTCATGTGTGCCAGTTTCGTTGTAGCGCTTGATGGTTTTTGCGACTCCACTTGGGGACACATTTAAAGTTTTTGCAATTTTCCAGACAGACTGACCTTCATTTCTTAAAGTAATGATGGCCACTCGTTTTTCTTTAGTTAGCTGATTGGTTCTTGCCATAATATGAATTTTAACAGTTGTCCAATAGGGCTGTCGGCTGTGTATTAACCTGACTTCTGCACAACACAACTGATGGTCCCAACCCCATTGATAAAGCAAGAAATTCCACTAATTAACCCTGATAAGGCACACCTGTGAAGTGGAAACCATTTCAGGTGACTACCTCTTGAAGCTCATGGAGAGAATGCCAAGAGTGTGCAAAGCAGTAATCAGAGCAAAGGGTGGCTATTTTGAAGAAACTAGAATATAAAACATGTTTTCAGTTATTTCACCTTTTTTTGTTAAGTATATAACTCCACATGTGTTCATTCATAGTTTTGATGCCTTCAGTGAGAATCTACAATGTAAATAGTCATGAAAATAAAGAAAACGCATTGAATGAGAAGGTTTGTCCAAACTTTTGGCCTGTACTGTATATATATATATATATATATATATATATATGTACAGCTACTTATCTGCACCAGAGTTAGCTATAAGCTCATTTTCATCTGTAGTCCCTGGGCAGGAAACAGAGAATAATTTCCCTGCTAAAAGACACTATTACATAAAAACACTACAACACTAAGACACCACCACAACAACAATAAAACTACAACAAGACAACAAGATATAACACGATTTCATAATGTTACATCAAGTGTTTGAGTTAATGTGTGATGGGTACATGATTGGGTTGGGTATCATTGCCCAAAAAGAAATAAAAAATGCAAAGAAGCACATTTTTCCATTGCTTATTCTTCAGTGTCGATACTACAGGGCTGCAGAAGGTTCTGTTTTATAACTTTTCTGAAGTGTTGTTGCACAAATTTTAAGCTAAATTTGAGAGGATGGAGGAGGAGATTAAAATAAAGAAGGGATCTCTGGATGAAGGACACTAATTTTAGTGTAAATAGGCGAACAACATAACACAATGTCACTTTGAACCCTGAAAACAGACCTTAAAGACACTTATTAACCATGAAAGTTATCTGCTCATCTTCTCCTGCCCAGTTTGCAAAATCAGCTGTTTTATGTTTGGACCCATATGATGTTTGCTGCTGTGTATGTTGAACGCAGCACACAGTGTCCTGAATGCTATTTACAGCAGCTACACTCCTGTGGCAATAAAGATTTAGAGATATAGCTGGTGACAGTCATTTTAATCTATGTGTGTTTTTACTTTTGTTTCTGTTAGTAACACAGTGGAGACCTGATGGCTGCTCCCATCATCTGAGGTGACATCTGAGGCGCTGATGCAGTTCTGACAGTAAGGTTTGATTTCTGAACTAAGTGCTTAGTCATTGCTCACCACACACTGTCCTGTTTCTGAAACTTTTTCACACACTGATAATCCAGTCAGGTTTCCTGTTTGTGTGAAAAAAGAGAGCAGCAAACCACTTTGCTCACTGCTGAGAGAAAAAGGAAGAAGATGACACAGGGAGGCTGAAAACATCTTAAATGCCAGCTCCTACACAGTTGACAGGACTGACAGTTCATTTCCCTGCGGAGCAAGACACTGCACTGCTGCCAGAGTCACACCTTGTAATCATAGTGTACATGCAGCTAATCGCCAGCAAGTGTTGCCCCCTGCTGGTGAAAATACCAGGCAACTTGCACACACAAGGCATGGCACCATATCATATCATCATTGTTTAGTGTCATGGATAGATTACTGAATGGGCCAAGTGTCAGGGGACCCCTGGCCTTCATCTGCAAAATGACAAATGTCAAATTAACATGTACCAAGCAGGAAAAGACTAACTGTGACCACAGAGAGACACAAACCCACAAAAAGGTGCAAAACAACTACAAAGAGATGTAAAACCACAACACGTCTGTGTGCCTTGCTCCTGTGTAGAAGAGGAAGCATACAGTATCTGTGCCCAGAGGCCCATTGTCTCATTATCCGCCCATGTTTATTGTGTATTAACACCTGTCTACCAGAGAGGAAAAGTTACAGACTCAATATTGTCTGTCTTCCTCAGCGTCCCTCCTCCTTACATTATTTATCTTAGAGAAATTATCCCAATGAATGGCCAGTAGTGACATACTTTAATATTTACAGCTTTCTGACCGAATCACAAGCTAACACAGATCAAAACCGGGCCTTGCAAAGCTTCGTTAGCTTCAACCTCTACAGTCTGTCTGGCCAAATTAGCAAAATGCTTGCTGTCCACAGGGTACAAAGTATTAGAATCCCACAGTTTTCCCATTCTCTCTGCTGATGCCTCATGTCTGTATCCACTTTTATCCTCTTCAAAGCTGAGTTCTTCAACCTGTTGCTAGTGCATCCCATCACACAGCAGCTTTTAGACATTTTTCTGTTGCTTGCTAACAGATGGAAAAAACAAGGAGGCTTCTTCACTCAATCCAAAGTCAGTGGAGATCAATAAAGTGTTTTTCCCTCCAGCGGAGGCGGGACTTAAATGTGCTCTGTCTCTGTAGGCCTACTGATGTTTAGCAGGTAAATGGTAATGTTTACCATGTTTATCATCTTAAACTATCTCGCTTACATTAACACTAATTAGCACTAAACACAAAGCGTGTCATATGTCATCAGTTTTGACCTGATGACTGCGTTAGATGAAAAGGTAAAGGATCAGCAACAAGATCATAGCTAATCCTCTGGAAACTATTAAAGCATGTAGGCCCACAAAATTTCCAATCCATCCAGTAATTTCTGAAATATTTCAGTCTGGACCAACTGACTGATGGATGCGATGCTAGCATGGCTAAAAATGAAAACATAACCTTTTTCAGGCTCATCCAAATGTATTCTCAAGATAAGATTAAATGTAAGTAGTTAGAAACTATTCATTCATTCAAACATTTTCTATAATCCCTCATCCCATTTGGGGTCCCAGGGGGGCTGGAGCCTATCCCAGCTGACATTGGGCGAGAGGCAGGGTTCACCCTGGACAGGTCACCAGATTATCACAGGGCTGACACATGGAGACAGACAACCATTCATGCTCACATTCACACCTAAGGGCATTTTAGAGCCACTAATTAACCTGCATGTCTTTGGACTGTGGGAGGAAGCTGGAGTACCCAGAGAAAACCCACGCTGACACAGAGAGACACGGGGAGAACAACCTGGGTTCGAATCAGGAACCCTCTTGCTGTGAGGCGACAATGCTACCACCAGGCTGCCTTAGTTGAAAAGTAGTTTCACACAAATGAAAACTTCAAAATTAGTTAAAACATCAGTTTCCTTTTTTCTACTCACCATCGGCATGTCATCAAGCCTCTCGAAGTTGGACCTCGGTGATTGGATACATTTCATGGCGGCAATCACCAGCAAAAGAACTAAGACGATACAAAAGATACAAATGATGGCCACAAGCCCGGGGTTTGCTTCCAAGTCATGTTTTCCCCACTCATGTAAGAGACCTGAGGGTGAGACAAACCAATAGTTCAGTGACAGATCTTCCTATAGGCGGCATAAGTGGCCTTTTTTATTATTAAAAAATCTTAGGGGGGCAAATGTGACAGGTCCAGCACTGCAAAAAGTTACTTCTTAACTTCTCAACAAACTGGATAAGACATATTTCTGCTTCAGTCAAAAAGAAAGGTGTACTGAGGAAAGAATTGCAACTCTAAATTTGCCAATAAAGAGCTCTCAAAGTGCAAAATGTATTACAGATCTCTTTTGCTGCAAAAACAACCACCAAGGACTAAATGAGGGAAAATGTAGCAGGTTTTTGATTTTGTCACATTTTCTCCATTGATTTAAACATCGTTCTCTCATTCAGGAAAGAAACAGAATACACCCAGACACCTAAGCTCTAACAATAGTCTCACCTGAGCTGGTTGTGTTTACAGAGGTTGTTGCCGTGACGTTTGGTGAGTCTGACGTTGGCGGGAGTGTCGGTCCGTGGGAAACTGTCGTGTTGGATGTCTGGTCGGTCGTTGGAGTCTGAGGAGGAGTGACAGTGGAATGTGTTTCCTCTGTCCTGTTGGGTGTGTGGGGGGAAGTCGAGGGTGGTGGTGATGTTGACACTTTTTCTGAAGTGGCTGCTGAGGTACTCTGGTGTGTTGTTGTCGTCAGAGGCTGTTGTGTGTTGTTGGTAGTTGTCACACTGGATAGACTGACTTTATCTTGTGTAGTTGAAGTTGTACTGACTTCATCTTGTGTAGTCGAAGTTGTACTGACTTTATCTTGCGTAGTCAAAGTTGTACTGACTTTATCTTGTGTAGTCACAGCCGGACTGACTTTATCTTTGGTAGTGACTGTCAAACTGGTGTGGTGTGCACTTGTGGTAATCTCTGTTACCTGTTTGACTGCAGAGGAAGTGGTGGTGTCTGCAAAGAAACAAACAGCATGAAAAACACTGTGAGGATGCATGGCATTTGCACCTAATCAATATAAGGCTAGTGGAGCATTAGTTGGCACTTTCAAGGCTGATAACCAAGCTGATGTTTTGGACTAAAAGCAGAGGCGTAACTGGGAGTTACGTGTCACACAGGAGGTGACTATATCCAGTTCCGTTTAGTATTATTTAATGACACTGCATGCACAAACACAGCACTTAGACTCGCCCAAGTTTTCCTCTTTTATGTGCTTCATCAAATGAGAAAGAGTCAGCAAATGTAATAAATTATTACCAAATATCTTAAATGATCAAGTGAATTTGTTTTTGCATTTAAGCCATTTTAATATTACTTCAAATAAAGATAAACTGTATGAAATTAACCACAAACCTTAGTCTATTTCATATTGTCTTATGCCTCATATTATTATCTAATGTGTGCCCAGCTCAACAATACACACTAATTAAACACTAGCTTCCTTCTGACCCCACCTTCATCTAATATTAGTAAGTGAGTGTAAAACCAATAAAACAATGATTCACAGATAAATGGGTGAGTAGCCAATCAGGACATGACGCAAAGAAGGCTGTTTCTGTCTGTATTTCTTGTGCTATTAATAACTGTTGCTTATCATAAGAGAAGCAGAGACTTTTACCCACTGTATTCCACGCTTTTAATCAGGTCTAATATTTGTGTTATCAGTACCAGGGAGACAGAGTGCACTCTTTATAAGCACCTTAACACCTTGCCATAGGACACACTTATTCATTATTACAGTGCTAGTTGTTTCCAGCAGACGGTGACAATGCAACAAAAAGTGAAGAGCAAGATGGCACTGTTGCCACGTTCTATTATGCACTATTGCATATCTGCACAGAAACAGTAGGTCTTTAAGCATTAAGCTTTAAGGTCTTTTAAGTTTTTTTGTTGTTGCTGTGTCTTGTTTTTTTTTTTAAGATTTAAAACTAAATAAAATATCTTGGGGAAAAAAATCAAATAAAAATTTCTGCCTTTATGTTGAATTAAAATGTTTAGTTTCAATACAGTATTTTCAATCTCAATGTTTGTTTTATTTGCTTGGTGAGAGAAGACGTAGATTAGGTAGCAAAGCTGAGCTGTTGGATGAAGTGTGTTTGCTTTTCTGATTTAAGTGTTGAGTAAATGAAACACTCTTTAGCTGGAGTCCAGGCTCGGTGCACCAAAACAAGCAACAAGCAGCATTGTTGGTGTGTCAGTTGAAGCCTTCAATGCCTGTGGCCCCATCCAAGTAAATACATTAATCACTGGCCAGAGGGTCATTTAGCAATATTTGCGCTGGACTATTAACAGAATCCTCAAAGACTCTAACCGTCAACATGAAAAAATATTGTGTCTACATCACAATAAAAAATATTTTAACCACTTTCTAAGGTTGCAACTGCGTCTCCCACTCACCATAAATCATGTATATTCTTAATTATTTGGAAAACACAAGCAAAATGTTGACAAATTATTTTGTATGAAAATATAAAATGTTGGTAAGAATGAACATTTTGGTTCACTTCATACAAACTGAGCAAGGAGATGTGACAACTGCAGCTACCATTTCTTTGGATAGGAAACAGTTGCAACATGAGATTTTTTTTATAATGCAGTGGACGGAATATTTTAACATCCAGATGATTAGAAAAGTCTTGAATTTTGAGGTACTTGTAATTTCCTTAAAGGTTCTATGTTCTAAGGCTTTATGAGTTGTCTTGATACGGTCCTCAACATGAAGGTGGCTGAGCCAGCAGCTAGCAGCTAATGATGTTAACTCCATAATTAAACAACAGCAACAGTGTTGACAGAGCTAATGGTGTTAGCCAGGGGGGAACTGGAGAGTGGGCACTACACTTCCACAATGTTCTGATATCAGTAGTGACCACCATACGAGTCCAGTGCAAAGCAGCGGCTATGAGCTAGCCAGTGGGATACAAACATGCACTAACATGGATGCTTTAAGTTTTTCCAATTCTGCTACTTTTTTCCCCAGCAATGCACACTATCTGGTAACAGCAAACAGTAACAACATGGACAACATCACAGTAGCAACACAGACAGGAGTGCTCACTCAGGCCTGTTCAGCAAGGCCTAATAGTGAAGGCAGCTATGGCTGCAGGGATCAGGCTCTTCCCAAAGCTAGCCCCTCTTCACCTAAGTGCTTTGTACCTGCACCCGGAGGGCAGTGGGGTAAGGAAGTGATTGACTGGGTGTTTGATGTCCTGTTCTACTGAGATAGCAATGCGTGCAATGGCTAATTTTTAACTCTGTGAGGTTGGGTGTGGAGAAACCAATTATTCTGCAGCGGTGTTGCTTATGCGTGTGAGTTCAGCCCTATTAGTAACTGATAACGTGTGAAAGAAGCAGGTGGAGCTGTACAGTAGGCTGGGCTGAATAACTCTCTGGTACAGCAATAGGAGGAGACGGGGCAATTTAGAGTCCTTAAAGTTTGCAGATGGCTAATAATCTTTGGTGGCTCCCTTTTATGATGTCATTGGTGTGCCAGTTGAACCTAAGTCTATTGTCCAGTGTCACTCTGAGGTATCTGAAACTGTCATCTATTTCAACTGTTTGGTTTTTGATCAGAATGGGATGCTGAGGTGAGGGGGGACCAAATATTATTTCTTATGTCTCACACCACTGGGTGAAGAGTGCACCTGTGTTGTGACAGTGCAGATTTCTTGGGTTCACAGATTATGGTAGCAGTTTTCCAGAGGGTAGCAGGTGTGGCAGTCTGGTAAGATTTGCAAAAGAGTGAGTGGAGAATTGGTAAAGGCTCCATGGCCCTGTCCCAGCAAAGGTGCTGACGCCGTCGGCTAAGCTGGCGCCGTATCCCCTACTCTATAAAGGACACTGTTCCTCAGGATCTGGTAGGGGGAGAGCTCTCAGCCACTCTTCACATACAGTAGAGAGTGGGTATCAAAGTGGGCGTCGAGTGTATTCAGTTCTGGGTCGGTTCCTGCACTCAGTTTGGGTTTGGGTTCATGTCCAGTTAGGGTTTTCACTTTCTATAATGCCTGCTTGGTGCTGATGTTGCTGAATTCAAAATCCAATTTATCCTTGAATTTCAGTTTTGTCTTACATACCTTCATTTTTACTCTTTGATTTGCCCTTTGGAGTTTAGGCCTGTCTTTTTGCCTCAAGGCTATGAGCTTTTCCTTCAGCTCTGTTTTATTTGGGGAGTGATCCAAGGTTTGGAGTTGAGATATTTCTTCATTGTCTTAACTGGAATGGTGCTGTATATGTAAACGTTGATGTAATCCCTGATGACAGAAACCCTAATGTTCAGATCTCCATCAACAATACCCCAGTCAGAGAGAGCCATGCCAGGGAGTGTTGAAGTTGAATGATGGTGTACTCCGACCACTGACCACTGAACAGCTGCTGAGCATGGCCGAGCGCAGCTGAGTGGCTAAATTGTCCCGGTCAAACAGCTGACTTCTGGTTTAGCACTCTGCTAACTTGAATGGGAATAAAATTATTTAATTTTGTGTCTTGAATAACTTTCTAAATGTTAGTGGACCGAATACATCAGATCTTGATACTGAAACATGACAATTCGCAGGGGTTGCGATACGCAAAAAAACATATCCAACCATCCAGCCACTATGTAAATTGGCTTCAAAGCATTGCCATAACATATGTCTAAGATGTTATCCCTACTGATGGGAATGTCCACATACTGAAGAAATGATGGTAGCACACAGTCCAGTCTATAACTGTTAAAATCCCCCACTAATAACCCTGGGGCTCTGTGATACTTATCCAACATAGCATTAGTATCCTCAGCCACCAACTCCCCTGCTGCCTTGATGTTTGTGCTGTGGGCAATGTAAACACAGCTGACCACAACAGTTGGGCATTCCCAATGGAGATAGTAAGGACGCAAGAACAGGGTCAGCATCTCCAGGATGGGCATACACATCTTGATGCTGCTACACCTCCTGTTATTGATGTAAAAGCAGACCCCACCACCCCGCATCTTCCCTGACTGGCTCGTTCTGTCAGACCTGATGATTGTGAAGATGTCCAGGCTGACTTCCACATCAGAGACCGACTCATCAAGCCAGGTTTTGGTCAGGGCAATGATATAGATGTCTCAGAAAGCCCTTCCTAGTCGGCAACGGGTGTGTAGCAAGTCCTTTTTATTCTGGAGTGAGTGTACGTTTGACAGAATTATGGAGGGGAGACGTGGTTTAAATGGTCAGTTCCTTATTCTGCTGCGAACAGAGTGCTCCAGGGATCACAAACTACCAACTGTGTCACTAATTGGTATGGACGTTTCTCACTTTTTTAAGGCTGCACAATATTGGATTTTTTGCCAATAGCTGATATGCTGATATGTAAAAACTCATTTGACTGTCAACAGATACCATTATCTTTATATCCACTTTTTCCCTCCCTAATTTTAGCCATCAGCAAGTCTCTCCTGTAGTGGAATAAACATCATATTATGCATACATAATCTTGTCATGGTGGCCCTCCAGCAGATGGAGACATGACATACATGGCTTTTTAATGTATGTAATATTCATTCATTGAGAAAAATAAGAAAAAGCATGTTGGCCATTCTCATAGTTCGATTTAAAGCCGATATTGGGCGATACTGATGACGTGCCGATAATGTTGTGCATCCCTGCTACTTCGTTATGTTTCATAAACTAACAACAAATGAATTGACCAGGAAAATAAGCAGAACAATCCATAATGAAGATAACATAGTTAAAAAATTACCTTTACACAATTAACTTCAATAAACTGTTGCTTAAACATTGATAGATAGGTAATAATAATCTAATGCTTTACTCTATATAGTAGTAGTACACATACATAGTTTTACTTATCTGCTCCATCTGTTAATAACATTATCAAAAGTTTCTTAACAGCCTCTTTGGGGGCCGCAGTAGCTCAGTCTACAGAGACTTGACTTAAGAACTGGAGGGTCGCCAGCTCAAGTATACTGACCAAGCTTGGAGTGTGGACTGGTATCTGGAGAGGTGCCCATTTGTGCATGTGTGTGTATTTCAGGCTTGTGTGTAAATGTCAACAGTGAAAATGGATTTGATAAAGTATATCTTATTCTTCTTCTAGATGCACCTTGAGGTGAGGTGGTCAACTAATGAAGCTGTTTGTCCTGTCATAAAATAGCAGTTCAGTTTGAGGTTCAGATAAGGCCGTAGAGTCTGTGACGTGTTAACCAAAGCAGAAACATCTGTTTGTCAGGTAATGATATGTGTTTACTGATGATGCAGACAAACAGGTGGCAGCCAGCTGGCATTGCATGCCTGTGTGCATTAATGTGTTTGCCTAAGTAGCAGACGCCACAGAAAGTTATCAGGATCACTTTCCCTGATTAAATATTTGCTTCATTTTCCACCCTTATGTGACCTTCCTATTTAGGCTACTTTAACTTCCTCTCATGATTTACTAGTAGCACTTCATACTTCACTTTAATAATCACTATTGTGCAAAATGGAGAAGGACCAACGTTGACTTGTAATTTACAACAATACACAATAATATGTTGCTTCAGTTTAAAGGTTTCTCTCTTCAAGGCTGATTGTTGTCCAACTTCTAATGCAACCCTGGCCTCAGATATTGCTGTTGTAGACATTAAAATGGTACTAAATACAGTGTTCTTTTCATACTGAGAAGAAACCTATCGCTAATAAAGCTGCCTCCCACTACAGGACGTTTCCAGTTTGCATAACTTTGCATCTTCATAATATTTCAACATGACGTTCAATTCAAACTCTCAAACAAATGAAACACGTCAGTTCAGTAGGTAGAAATGTGAAATGTTGGCTTACCTTTACAGGCGGCGACTGCAAACAGGCACAACAGCACAGTGAGGTGCATCGCTGCAGGCATGTTGAGAGAGGAAAAGGCTGGCGGTCATATCGACAGTATTCAAATACACACACAGTCTACATCCTTGACAGCAGGATGTGCTGAGTGCCTGAGGAGGAGTGCTCTAAACGCTGGGTTGGTACATATGAAATCCTTCAGGCTGGTTGGTCAATGTTTAAACAATGCTGTGTGTTTGCTCTCGGTTTAAAGCGACAGTCATTCAGTGGGCGTTTTTTATTTTGATTGACATTCTGGGTGGAAGTAGCAAAAGTTGCTTGCTGTAAATGATGTAAATCAGTTGGATGTTGTGAATAATGAATGGTAGACGATGTTAAAGCAGCCAAGTTGATTATCAGAGCAACACTGTTTCAATAGCAGACAACTGACAAGTTATCACTCTGTTTTTCAATTCACATGTACCGTATTTCATCACTTCTGTTATTAGTTCGTAAGCATTTAATTCTCTTCCTTTTTTCAAAATAATTTTTTGTTACTTCCACTCCTGAGGCCACTTTCCTTCAGTGATGCATTTTGTTTTGTGAATGACGATTGGCCCAGCCAACATTTGTATGCGGGCCCCTTGTGGGTAGTAAATGGGCTGAAAAATGGGCCCTATAGGGGACTGTCCACAGGTTCCATACCGGCCCCATGACATTTTCCCACATAGGTGGGTTAACCCAAGTGGGCCCCAGACAGGATGCCCATTTTGGACCCATACCTACTTTGTACTCAGGTAGCCCCAGAATGACCCATGACCCAATATAGGGCCCATTTTTCAGCCCATATATTACTCATGTGGACCCCACATACAAAGGTTGGCTGGGGATGAATGTAAGATGTAGAAAGTGACGAAACATGGCTCTGTTTTCATCATACCATCTGTTTAATCAAACTGGCTTTAAATTAACCAAATCACTTGATATCTTATCACTCTATTTTTCATTTCACACCCTTTTCAGCCCAGAAGAAGCTAACAGCATTGAATGTTCCTGCAATCCCAGAATATGTTACATTGATTCATTTCATACATATCAACGTTTCTAAAGTGACATGGTTCAGATTACATGTATATGAGCTGACTTTGTCATCTGGAGGTGTAGGGATAGTGGATGGTGGACTGAGGGACACCTACACAAGACACCAGCCAAGATGCAAACCACTTTAGACTGCTATTGGAGACCAACAACAAAATTGGTTATGTTTTAGCAACCCATTGCTGTTTTACAAGCTGCTTTTTAGGCACCAAACATGATGTTTTTCAGAGATCAAATGCTGATTTTTCACTGGGGATAGTGCCACGAAATGCTTTTGTTTTTTTCACACTGTGTTTCCTGCTAGGAAAGTGCCATGAAAAGTGACTGCTTTATACTGAGACACTGTTGTGTTTCCAGCCAGGATAAGAAAAGCGGGTGTTCAGATTTTCCTACCATGATCAAATGGTTTTTGTGCCTAATCCTAAGTACCACAGTAACCACAGTGTTGTTGAATTATAAAGAAAGGTAAAGTTTCAACATATCCGCTACATAATAATGTAGAAATGTAACGTATCCGTGGTTTGTAAAAGCACCAACATTTTGTCTACTGATTGGGTTGACATTTTACCCCTCTGTTTTTCAATTCCCATGTATTTTCATCATCTCAATTTTCATTAGTTAATATTTGTTACTTACACCCATCATACTTCTAAATGTCAAAAGAGGAATATTTTCAGTATGAGTAGAAATAAAGGTTGATAGTGATGGTAACTGCAGAGTCACTCCTGGCTCAGAAAGTTTAATTTGAGACACACCTCTCAAACTCCTGCTTTTACCTCAAAGACTGTAACTCCAATCACCTACATATTGATACCTTGAGAGAAGACACCTTGCTGAGTTTGAAGCTGCTCTCCGCTCTAATGTTGTTTTCACACCAAACACGATGTGAATTTTCGCTTTGCGTTACTCACACAAGTTTGAATGCAAGAACATTTTGTGTTGACTCGCTGCATATGCGCGAATAACTCGTGTCATGCGCACATAAAATCTCTGGCTCGATGCATGAACTGCTACTGGTATGTCCTCAGCGTCACTCATCCCTGGAGGGCAGTGTTAATTTTGTCAACTAAAACTTAAACGAAAACTTTTTGTTGACGACCCTTTATTCCGTGACTAATTTGTGACGAGAACGTAAATTTAATAAGTACTGACAACAAAAACTAAAACGAAATCTCTGTTCATTTTGAATTGATGAGTAAAAACGTGTCGAAAAAGCTGACGCTGGCCTGCCTGACATTCTTGATTACAACCATCCTCAATGCCTTGATTGTTTTCCTTTTTAACCAATTAATTATCTAAATTCAAATTCAAACTCTCAGTCTATCTTTCTGATTGGATGACCTCCCCCCGCCTTCCGTGCGGTGGCGCTGCACGTCCAGTTTTGCCACACAAGCCTTGGCTCCACAGCGGGAAGCTGGGAACAACAACGCCTGTAAAACTCTGTAAAAGTACACCAAAGCATACATTTTCGTTTCCAAATATTTATTTGAAAACGAAACCATTCATACGGTCAATAAAAAAACATTTTGTTAATAATAAAAAAACTAATGTAGTCTCTACAGTGACCGCTCCAGCTGGCGGGACTGCAGCTGAACCACTTCCAATGTTCATTCATTCATTCAATCGCGTGTTCAATGTGTGTGTGTGTGTGTGTGTGTTAGTATGTCAGAGAGGAGGAGTATCAATAAAAAAAAAGTTTCCACTAATTATTTCGTTGTCTATTTCTTTTATTCTTAAGTTGTTTTTTATTAAAATGCGTAACAATATTATAGACCAAAAGTTAATCTAATTTATTATTGTAGAATGTATTCAGTAAATCACAACTTTCAACTGGAGACAGCGCTGCAGCGAAAAAAAAAAAAAAAAGGCATTATAAAAAGCCGACAAATAGTGTTAATTAATTAACATGAGACATTGGACAGTGGTTGTCAGTCTGTAATATTTTTTTTATTTTATCATAACTTTTCGGAAATTACTCAAAAATGCATTTTTTTGTGTGCTTCTGAGCACACGGGCAGCATAAACAATGAAGTTACATATGACCGTTGCGGCCCTTGGAGGGGCGCTGTAATCCTGGCGGCCCTTTAACAAACACTGAATTAAAATGGGCATATGATTAAATGTGTTTTGATGCCCTTGTAAGAAAATAGTAAATTAAAATGGGCATAACAGTTAAGCTGATCTTCTTTTGATGTCTTAAGAGGATTTAAGCTTTATTCTTGCAGGTTGTAAGTCATTTGTTGTACAAATATACAGAAAATAAACAAGAACCTGTGAAGGACATGATTATGTATTGCACTTTTTCTAACGAGCCTTAGACATTCATTTTTATTATACAAGAGTAATACGGTACATTCTTAGTTTAAATGACTAAACACACAGTTAAAGGTATGCTTACAATGGAGTTTTTACTACCATGACAAACATCCTTTTGCAAAATCTATTACAGTATAACAAAACTGTCAAATTACATCAAAAGACTAAAATTAAAACTGATTTCCACTGACTAAATTTTAACTAAAACAAAACAAAACTAAAAGACTAAAATCTGACTTTAACTAAATCCAGTCTTTGGTGAGTGACTAAGACTAAAATGAAATTAAAAACTCTTGTCAAAATTAACACTGCTGGAGGTTGTGATGGATCTTAATGCTGATTGGCTATCACAGTGCAAATTGGTCCCTGAAGTTCAGATTTTTAAATTCTCGCAAGTAAGCGTATGATACAAAATCATAATTTCATAATTAATCTTAATTTGCGCTGCTTAATTCGCGTATTTCGTGTCATTTGTGTCGCGACCATCACGTAATTCACTCGTTGAATCGTTTTATTCCCGCCTGGTGAGAACACAACATACAGTGAGTGTGATGTCACGTACTCTGACTTTCTCACACACATTAGATTAAAAAGAGGTCTGAAAATCGCTTAAGACTTAAACTGTGATTGTGCATATCTGCTATTGGCAAAGTATAAAAGATATCAAAACATTCAATAGAAGAAAGAAAGTCCCATGTCTTGTGACTGTTTCAGAGTTCTAATGACGTTTCTACATAAATATTTGAATGAGCAGTCAAGATTTGAAAAATACAGAAAAAAGTTGTGTCAAATGAGAGCCATTCATTTGAATGATCTAAGTTATCCACGGTCATGAAAACTTTGGCCTATGTCCACATACTGTTTTTTTCTTAGCACTAGCTTCTTTTTTAATGGTTCTCAATGAGGCGAGAGCATATGAGAAAAGGTGTCACACCCAGCGCTACACTTTTAATGTGCGACCGCTCCCAGTGCTTTGACTTGGAAAAAGCTCAGGAACACTTTTGTCAAAGAAAACTTTATTTCCATTTGCAGTATTATATTTGGTGGTATGGCTGTTCTGAGGCCTCTCTGCCTTTCCTCGGACCTAGGCAGAAAGCCTCTTCTAGGCGCCTGCATGGAAAGCATAAGGCAGAGAAAACACACCTGATTGCTTTCCATGCACCTGATTGCCCTTTCACGTACAAATCAGGAAAGCCTGAGGCAGAGAAAGCAAACCTCCCTGCCCTCCCAGGCAGGACACGATGTCAAGCTCAGCTCACATCCCAGCTACATCAGCTGATCTCAAACAGCCCAATAAACTGATGGAGCAGCTGATTGATGGAAGGGAGTCAGCTGATAGATCACATGATTCCTTTCTATGCAACCAATGTCATTCAGGGCGCCCTCTTCTGCTCTGGCCTGTCTACTGTTGCTGCTTCCTCTGCAAGCTGCTTTGCAACCTGCCTCCACCCCAGCTCCTCCTTTTCATGTTGTCTGACTTATCAATGTCATTAATGTTTGTCACTGCCTCTGGCTTTCCATGTAGGCGCATGGAAGGGCAGGGGGGTTTGCCTCTCTGCCTTAAGGCTTTCCACAAAGGCACATGAACAGAGCCATACCGCCAAATATAATACTGCAAATGGAAATAAAGTTTTCTTTGACTAAAGTGGTCCTAATTGAAATGGGATTTTTGTACACAATACTGTATTTATTATCTGCTTGTCCAAACTTTATTGTTGTGGGGAAAACTGATGACAACTGCATGTTTTTGATCAAACACAATGCATAATTAGGATACAAGGTATTAAATGAAAGTCATCACATACTTAACAGATTTTCATGTCATTCAAAAAACAAACAAACAAAAAACAATAAAACAAATGTAATTCATCAACATTCACAGTTCTTTGAAAACCTCAAAGCCAACAACGATGCAAGCTTTACTCTACAAACACTCATCTACTGGGGCTTACATTGAAGTGCCTTGCTGAAGGTCTTGTTAATGCAGCAGTTACACGCACTCAGAATGTGATAAAAAGAAAACCAGCACCATCATTAACATGACAGGCAGTGAGACAGCTTTTCATCCCTGAGTGTGAACATCATTCAGATATAAATAAACAGAAAAAACTGGACAGAGACACATTAAAACTCTACAGACATGATGGGAAAAGTGTTCCAGCACTCCCACTTAAATATCCACAACTCCTCAGAGTTGAGACAGAAACTCGAATGGAACGGTTTGTCGGAGGAAAAACACCATCAGTTATAACACTTTTGCAAAATTATGCAGAGGCAAAAAGACGTTTGTTAACAGATAAAAAAGCAAAATGTTCTTTTGTCTTGATGAGGGACTTCACAGTTGAGCAAGAACTCCGTCTCTAAGCTTTTTCCTTCAGAGGTTTGGGCGGTGGGAGCATTTCTTGCTGTACATCTACAGCACTGCTGTCTGATACCAGCTCAGTGGGGGGGCTGTCAACCTGTCAGCACAACAGAAACCAATGCACACATTACTAATTAATATCACTGCAAGTAGAAAACTCTGACAGACACAATCAACAGCATGAACAAAGAAATAGTGGAGAAGAGTTACACTATATCTCTCAAATTCGTATTAGTGGCAATGTAGTCAGTAAAAAATAAATCACATTCTCTTAATAAAAGAAGTGAAAACAATCCAAAAAGCAGAATCCCATTAAATCTCCTGTGTGGCTGACTTACTCTGTGCTTCAGGTAGGACAGGTAGGTGTCCCACCCTAGGCTAATAAAGTTGATGAACACCACACGGTACTGGAGTGAGAGGAAGTAGAAGTTGAACATCTGAGCAGCAGGCCAAACAGTGCACTCCGCCTGCAGGCAAGAACAACATAGGTGAGCAAGAACAGACTGATTACCCAACGCAAACATTGTTTGAACTCACTTTCAGCTGGCTTTTAACCAAAATATCTTTTTTACAGAAGTTTAAATACAGCTAATCAGAAACAGCAAATAGATTTTTGAGGGAAACGTAATAACGAGCAAATTAGGTTTTCTGTTAACGTGATGAGAAAATGTTGCTGATTGAGGCATCTGGCAAGTCGCAAAAATGTTGAGAATGATTCAGAAATAGTTCACTGACAACATATTTCAGTTGTTTTTCGCCAAAGTTGGCAGTCTTGCAATAGACCGTCCCCTCATACTGACGACAGTATTATTTTTTCTATTACCTTTTTCATTAACATTTAATTGAAATCACGATCTTTCCCTAACCTTAACCAAGAATGTGTTTGTTGCCTTAACCTCAGACAGGACACCTGGACGAGAACCCGCAAAGTTCTGGTGTCAAAGTCCTGCACTGTGAACACTCGGCATACTCCCCAACCACCTCCTTTTGAAGCCGACACAGTACATGAATGTGGTGTTTTGTTATCTGAAAGAAACGTCATCCCTGAACGTAATCCAGGCAGCGGTTACATGCCATAACAAAGTAATTAAGAAAGCAGTTTAGTAACATACAAACCTAATTTCTAGGAGACAGGGCTGGTTGATCACAAATGATTGTTATACAATATAGGCTTAAATGACTGCAACAAGATGAAGCGGACTGGACCGATGCTCACATTCAGCTTTTTTTTTCTCCTTGTGTTTTACATGAACATCAAAGGACACAAGCATAGACAGGACCGTTTAAGTCACTGGTTCCCAACTGGTGGGTTGCGGCCCAAAAGTGGGTTGCAGATCCATTCTAAATGGACCGCAAGTGACTCGCTAAAGTGTCAAGTTTGTAAAAAATAAAAAAACTTTGTTATGAAGTACAGTGAATTTACGGCATAGAGCTTTTATCTTGAAATTTTTCCTGCTGTAGAGTGACTGACGGACAGCTACTTCACAGAGACAACAAACAGGCTTGACAACATGGCCAAAAGCAAGTATGACACTGAATATATTAAATTGAACTGATGACTAAGGAGAAAACTGGACCTCGTGGTTGGACCATGTGGGAACCACTGGTTTAAGTTACAGTAGCTAATGCATATAAAAACTGCAAAGTTAAATTCTTTTATTTTTTATTTTTGGGGCATTTTACCTTTAATGGACAGAACAGCCAAGTGTGAAGGGGGGGGAGACAGAAGGGATGACACACTGCAGCAACAGCCTTGTACATGGGGCATCTGCTCTATCCACTAAGCCACCGACCCCCCCCCCAAAGTTAATTTATTATCTCTGGTTAAGAACAAAGAAGAACTTCTGATGTGATAAGCATGTACATGGTGAGACCTGACAGGTGTTGCCTTAAAAATCTGCAAATATTGTATTGTTGTCCAGAGAATCTATATGGTATTGTATGGTGATGAAACTGGTCATGTACACCCCTACATGTTACTCACCGTATAAAATTCCCAGAACTTCTCCCTAAATTCCGTCCATCCTTCAGATAAAGTGTGTCCCTCCATGAGACCTAAACCTGCAATAAACAGAGTTGTCTGTCAGATGTGCATCGGCACCAAGCATCCTCAATACCAACTTCAGATAAGGGCTGGACGAGCTTTTATAAAACATAGCCAACACTCACAAACAGAACCTCAGTCAGATCCAAACTGTTTATCACGGACAACCTTTGAACTTCATTCACCTCTGATACACACACATCGTCATCTTACCTCACCCACTTTACGACAGGCTGCTTAGTGCCAAATAAATTCTGAAATGCCTCTCACCCATAAAAAAGACTATTCCCACAACTGGTGCACCAACCAGCATGTCCACCAGAACCTTCTTGCCCACCGCTTTGAGAGTATTACCCACGAACAATCCATCCAGCCAGATGTACCAGCCATGCTGCACCGGGCCCAAGGAGCAGCCAAATGTCAACATTTTACCTTCAGGGGGAGAAAGTCAGAGCAAAAAGAAATAATTAATTTGAATGAAAATACTAATATATTTTAATAATATTAATATTTAATTATAATATTTTTATACATGTTCGAAAATAAAAGCCATCAGTTTGTTCAAATTCTGCTGAATATTATGTTTCCCGGGAAGAAATTGTTTTGCAGAGGTGATAGGCCACCCAGATCCTGGCACAGGCATCACAGATATCTTTTATCAACACATGAACCAAATTCAAATAAAAGTTTTCGTTTTTATTGAGCCTTGAGTTTGTACAGATTATCTGAGGTGCTGTAAGAGCAATCAAAGTTTGATTTATTACTGTAGAAATTGATGACTCTCACAGAATCAATCAAAGATTGTGTACATCAATTTGTGCCCTCTGGCATCAGTTCATAGTGGAAATGTCTTTACTTATGTAAAGGAAAACACAAAATTTAGGTGCCAGGTGTCAATTCAAAATATAAAGTATAATGGAATATAATGCGGTGAGCTATTTCCACAATAGCTCTGCTTGTCTCTTTTTCTCACCTGTCCTCCTCCAGTCTCGGACTCTGCCTGGCTTCTTGAAGTTCTCCCAGGTCTGCTGCACAATGTCCCCCAGTGCCAGCATACCCCCTGCACTCAGCGTGTTTGTGAGCAGCAGGGTCCGGTTCTGGAAAAGTGGTCGCCAGTTGAGCCGAATGCGGACCAGAAAGTTTTTACCTAACTGGGGAAGCATGACCTTAGGACTGCAGAGAGAGTACTGTCATCAGCAGGAGAACCAGCTCTCTGTCTCTCTAACTTCTAAGTTGGTGTTTATTCTCTTACTCCAACACAGTTAAGCTCAGGGCTGTCATCAGCATAAGCTACCAAAAAAAAAAAAAAAAAAACCGAAAAAAATAAAAAAGCACAGCATGTATGTAGGACTACAAACACAAAAGCACACAACAAAATACACATTCAAAAAGATTGCTGTGCCTGAGGAGTAAATGCTCTAAACAGTGGGTTGGTGTGAGCAAGTATTTGCTCTGTATTTAAAACATCATTACGGCCCAAGCACCAAATGGTATAAGGATCCTATTGTGATTGCTCAGTTTAGTATTACTATTTCAGTCAGAACCACTTTAGTCAAAGAAAACTTTATTTCCATTTGCAGTATTATATTTGTGGGTATGACTCTGTTCTGGGGCCCCTCTGCCTTTCCAAAGCTTACACAGAATGCCTCTTCCACGTGCCTAAGCCTCAGGTGGAGAGAGCACACCTCTCCGCCCTTCTGCGTGCCTATGTGGAAAGCCTTAAGGCAGACAGAGCACACTTCTCTGCCCTTCCATGCACCTACATGGGAAATCCAAGGCAGGGAGAGCAGCAGCAAACACCCCCCAGGAACAGAGCAGAGCCAGTATCAATGACGCTGTGACAACAAGATGACATTGATAAGTCAGACACAGCATGAAAAGGAGGAGCGAACACCTGCCTGTCTGGCTGTACTATGGCGCGCTCAAGAGTAGAGAGGAGGCAAAGAGATGACAGTCTGAAGTAGAGGGAGAGAAAAGGGTGAGAGAAAGGTACCACGCTCCCTCTACAGACAACCTGCTCAGTGTAAGAGCACATTCAAGATCAACAGTATTCAACACACTTCTAATTTTTTTTATGTGAAGTTGAAGACAGACCTGAGGAACAGGCTGCAGAGGAACCATCTGGCTGCATGCATGCTACTCAGCATCCATGGACCACTCTGACCGAGTTTCCATACGACAGAGCCTTGGAGCTCTTTTTCAAAAAATCAAGAAAAATAAAGTGCTCTCAGCCAGGCTGCAAACTGTGCTGTTAGATTAGGCTACAGTTGTGTATATAGTTGTGCTACAGTTGTGAAGTCAACAAATAGTGTATTTATAAAAACATTCAGTTTTAAGTTGTCAGTCAATTGTTGTAATTTCACGTGTCAAATTTCACGTCTCACAGGACACAGGGGGAGATTAGGCTACAGTTGTGTATGCAGCTGTGACAAAATGTCTTATAGCTTATAGCTTATGGATGAAAATTCATTTTGTGTGTGAGTATTTATTAACAACACAATGAACGTAATGGCATCATGTCAAAAATTGTATTTAAAGGGTTAAAATTCTGAGAAGGAATTCATATTTGGTCGTTTTGCTCAGGACTGATGTTGGTTGAAAAAAAAAAAAATTCATATCTAACTTTATGGCAGTTTTAATAGGGGACATTTTTTTCCCTCTAAGGTAACCAGATGGATTTTTTAAACCTGACACTGCACAAAAAATATAAAAGGCATCAAAAAAAAAAAAAAAAAAGAAAAAGAATGCTGTTGCTAATGATTGACACATCCCAGGCTGTGAAAGAATGAATATTTTTATTTTTTATTTTTTTTTTTAAAAGTTCCCCTGGACTTAAATATACAGAAAATAATTAAACTTTTGAGCTTTGTTTTTCCAACCAAAAAAAAAGGTGCATTATGCAAATGAAAACTGGCATTTAAAGGGTTTAAATTCTTAAAATATATATTTGTAGTAATTTTTAATGGTATTTTTTTTTTGACAGGAGGTCAGGCAGAAACGTGGTTGTTTTAAATTTGAGAGAGGAAAGGTCTGTCGGAAGAAACAGCCCGTCTTGTGTGACAGTCCTGCGGCATTTTGCAAAGGCTGAAAAGACGTTTGAACAGCAAAATGTTCTTTTGCCTTGATGAGGGACTTCACAGTTGAACAAGGACTCCATCTCTAGCTTTTTCCCTCAGAGGTTTGGGCGATTTTAACACTTCCTGCTGCACATCTACAGCACTGCTGTCTGATACCAGCTCAGTGGGGTGGCCGTCAACCTGTCAACACAACAGAATCCAATACACACATCAATTTAATGAATATCACTTCACTTGTTAATAACTGATCAAGTAGAAAACTAGTTCTCTCCTAATTCGTCCACATTAATGGCAGAGTTTTAAGATTTTAACCTTTATTAAGGCACAGATATAAAACTAAATGGCGTTAAATGCTTATACAATAAGTAAAAATGAAACACATTCTCTCAATAGAAGGAGTGAAAACTGTCCAGGAAGCATAATCTCTGTTGAAACCCCTGTGTGGCAGACTCACTCTGTGTTTGAGGTAGGACAGGTAGGTGTCCCATCCTAAGTCAACAAAGTTGATGTACACAACGCGGAACTTGGGTGAGAGGAAGTAGAAGTTGATCATCTGAGCGGCAGGCCAAACACAGCAGTCCGCCTGCAGGCAAGAACAACACAGGTGAGCATAAATAAAGCTGAACTGATTACACAACAAGTGACCAAAGGAACCATGAATAATTGTACTTTCATGGCGATTCATCAGATACGTTTTGAGATATTTCAGTCTGGTTGAAAGTGGTGGACTGACACTGACATCAACAGAGCCACACTGCCAGCGTGGCTAAAAAGGCTCGAGATGGCAGCAACAAAATGAATCAGACTGATGCTCGATTTCAGCTTTTTTTCTCTCCATGTGTTTTATATGAACACCAAAGAACAAAAGCACAGACAAGATATGTGGCTACAGTTAAATTCAGGCACCTGCACAGATAGACCCCACGTGCACCGGTGGTGTTGGAGGGGATGTGGATTAGGGGTCCAGTATGGGAGAGTTTGTCCCCTATCTATAACTTCTAAAGGCTCACCTGAATACAGTCTGTCTAGTTCAGGCAGTAACCCACCATTACAGTAACAAGAAGTAAGCTAGTGTGGTGTAAAATCACACCTTTTACCTCCAACTCTGTGCCAGATTCAGGTTCACCAGCTGCCCGGTGCAGGCGGAGACAGATGCCGAATTGCTTTCCAACTTACATGTGTCTTTTTAAACCAAAATTAAATTTGAAATAATGTGTATGTCTCCCATGTCGAGTCTCTGACAATCAGTTTAAAAAAAAATGACATGCAGTTTGGTGCTGTGCTGCGTAAAGGGAGCAGAGGAGCAGTGCTGGGCTGCTCATTTCTGTTCTCTGGGATTCTTTGGAAAATAATTATAAGAATTAGTGCATGACTATTTTCAAAAGAGGAGAGGAGAGGAGAGGAGAGCGTCCCCGACAGAAATGTCTCTGTTCATTACTGTGCACAAATGTTTGTGAACAATTTGTGGGAGGGGTGCCCTTTTTTCCACCTGAGCACCTGCTCTGCATAATGTCTGTGCACAGTACTGGTTTAACTTACAGTTACAAATGCAAAAAAGCTCCAAAGTTAACTTCTTATCCCTGGTTATATCTGGCTAAAGAGAAGAACTTCCAATGTGATGAGTGGATGAATGCAAGTACATTTGCACTGATCTGCTGACCCAGATCCACAGGTGAGACCTGACAGGTGTACTTGCCTTAAAAAGTTCCCAGAACTTCCCCCTAAATTCCATCCATCCTTCAGATAAAGTGTGTCCCTCCATGAGACTCATACCTGCAATAAACAGAGCTGTCTGTCAGATGTGTGTCAGCGTCATGCTTCAGTAATAGCAACTTCAGGTAAGGGCTGGAGGAGCTTTTTATAAAACATGACCGACACTCACAAACAGAACCTTATGCAAGTCCTGTAAACTGTTTAAACAGATGAACTTTGTACTCCATCCACCTCTGATACTGACACACATTGTGTGTTTGTCTCCAATAAAATGTGAAGTCTTCCTCACCTAAAAAATACCACATCCCAAAAAACGGTGAGGCGACCACCTGGTCCACCACAATCTTCTTGCCCACTGTTTTTAGAGCTTTACCCACGAACACTCCGTCCAACCAGATGTACCAGTAGTGCAGCAGTGGGCCCATGGAGCAGCCCACTGAAAACATGAAACCTTTGGGTAAAGGGTGGAGGACAGAAACAGGAGAATTAATGGCAATGAATGAGTCATTCAAAACACAAATATTCTCCAAAATACAATTGTTATTCTATAAAAAACCTGGAACAGCATCACTTCTCTTGTCCTGCCTTAGAAGCCTTTCTTGAGTATTTGAACCTTTGAACCTCGAGCAATTTAGTGCCATTTCTTTCAAAAACGTGAAAAAAGCTGACTTGGTAAGAAATGTCCCACCAATTGCAAAAAAAAATAAAAAATAAAAAAAAATAGAAAATTAATTTCAAAAGGAGGAAAAAAACAAAACAAACTATATTTATTATAACCATAACATTTTAAAAGTAGGTTACAGAATTATTATAATTTTTAAACACTCTTTCCAGGTCATTACCTTGTTTGTCTTTACCTTTCTTTCTTTTTTTCTTTCTTTCTTTTTACTACTTTTCTTGTTTTAAATTCTCTCTTTCTGCTAATTTCTTGGGTCATTTTTTTCTTACATTGTTCATTGTCTTCTCCCCATGTTTTAAAGGAAATCAAGCCCATTTGCTCAGGTTTCAAAGAGTTAATAGATGGAAATTTGGATATACTGGTTAAGAGAGTTTGGAATTTTATCTTGTATTGAAAAAAAGAGATTCAACCTCTTAACTAACATTTTGAAATTTGGTTGCAATGCCATATATCTTGTATTTTTTAACATTTACCCTTTTTTACCTTCTCCTTTATGGTCTTTTAGAACCAAAAACACATAAAAGCTTTAGTCTGCATTCACTGAGGTTGTGCAAATTATCTGAGGTGCTGTATGAGCAGTCAAAGTTTGAAACATGCTCTGTAGAAACATGTTCCCCACGCTATCCTGCAACATTACGTTCATTTGGCAGACACTTTTATCCAACACACTGCGCTATGATGACTGTCTATATTTCTTTTCATTGACTGTGAGGCCAGTCATTCAGTCATGTGTAGAGCAGTCACCAGCACCTCCAGGGTTGATGGTGAACTATTCAGACGAAGCAATAATTGCATCCCTCATGCTTTGCTCTTCTTTCTTTCTCACCTGTCCTCCTCCAGTCTCGGACTCTGTCTGGATTCTTGAAGTTCTCCCGGGTCTGCTGCACGATGTCTCCCATCCCCAGAATGACTCCTCCGCTCAGGGTGTTTGTGGCCAGCAGGGCCCGGCCCTGGAAAAATGGCCGCCAGTTGAACCGAATCCGGACCAGAAACTCTTTACCCACCCGGGGAAGCATGACCTTTGGACTGCAGAGTACGTACTGTCTGTCATCAGCAGGAGAAGCAGCTCTCTGTCTCTCACTGTGGCCAAGTTGACTAACTTCTGAGTTGGTGTTTATCCTCTTTATTTACTCCAACATGTTTCAGCTCAAGGCCATCGTCAGCGTAATCTACCAGTGTTAAAAAAACCACCATGTATGTAGGACTTCACCACAAGAAAGCTGAATGTTTATCAGTTATCCAGTGACAGCTGGAGACATAGGTGGCCCGCCTCCAAATGATGCTGCACCAGAAACACAGACGCCTCAACACAAAAGCACACACAAAATTAAAGCAAACATCTCACAGTCATAAACTATACCTGTGCCTGAGGAAGTGTACTCTAAGCGCTGCGTTGGTGAACATCAAATCTGTTAGGCCGGATAGTCACTGTTTGTACAGGTATTTGCTGTGTATTTAAAACAACAGAGATTTGTCCACCCATTCCTGTAGGAATTCAAGGAAAGTCAGTTTTGTGATGATCCTGGGGGAAACTGTGGTGTTAACACTGGACTGTAGTCAATGAACAGTAATCTCATGGAGCTCCTTTTTTTGACCAGGTGAGATAGGGCGGTGTGGAGGAAGTGTGCTACAGTGTCTTCTGTTTATCAGTAGGGACAGTAGAGAAACTGCAGTGGGTCCAGTGTGCTGGGCAGTGAGGACCAGATGTAATCCTTAACCAGTCGTTCATAGCGCTTCATCATTTAGGTCAGTGCCACTGGGCAGTCATCATTCAGGCAGGCTGGTCTTGTTTTCTTGGGCACAAGAATGACTGGACTTAGGTACAGGTTGAATATCATGGCAACACTGGCACTAGTTGGTCAGTACATAGTTTGACTCATACTGTCTGGTCTTGCTGTTTTCTTGGTGTCCAAGACTTAAAGGCCCTCTTGATGTCATACTCAGAAAGGGTGACAAGCATGGCTGTAGCCAGCTATGAGGTCACCGAGGTCCGGAACTTAGTAAAAATTTCAAAGAGAAAAGAATAGAAGGACCTCACTAATTTCTAAACCCTGGCTATGGCCCTGGTGACAAATGTATAAAGTGCACCCACCCATCCAGCTGTTTTTGCTTGTTGACTACTGATGGCCTTAAAGCGAGCATTGAAATTGTTTAGCACACTAGCTAAAGACACATCGGCACTTGACAAGAAGGTGGGGCTGGGCTTGTAATCTGGCATACTTCTTAGACCTTGCCACATGATTCTAGGATTGCTCTCCTGGATCTGTAGTTCCACTTTCCTCCTGTGGTCCCATTTTGACTTTTTACTGCTCTTTTTACATTGTAGGCTGCCGCTTTATTGTTATCCATGTTTCCAGACTGCAGCTATTAGCTGTACGTTGCAGAGTGTGTGTTGATGGCATCCTGGGTGCTTCTGGCAATCCATGTTTTCTGATGTGGAGAAATGTTATTATAGTGTTAGGTGCAATTGCCTCTGTTGTCAGTCCTCCAAACAAGTAACAGCCAAGGCTGTGGCATGTTTTGTATGTTTTCCGGTTGTCCATCTGTCTGTCCCATCCTTGTGAAGACGATATCTCAAGAACACCTCAAAGGAATTTCTTCAATTTGGCACAAATGTCCACTTGGACTCAGTGATGAACTGATTAGATTTGAGTGGTCAAAGATCAAGGTCACTGTGACCTTGTCTGTCTCATTCTCATTTACATGACATCTCAAGAACGCTTTTAGGGAATTTCTTTAAATTTGACACAAATGTCAACTTGGACTGAAGAATACACTGATTAGAATCTTGTCATCGAAGGTCAAAGGTCACCTCACAAAATATGTTTTTGGCCCTAACTCCAGAATTCATGTTATTTATGACAAAAATTCACACTAATATGATAAAATATTAAAGTTATAGCATTTTAAATCCAAAAAGTCAAAGGTCAACTTCACTGTGACATCATAATGTTGTGAATTAAACACTTTTTTGGCCATTACTTAAAGGGATAATGCACCCAAAAATGAAAATTCAGCCATTATCTACTTACCCATATGCCGAGGGAGGCTCAGGTGAAGTTTTAGAGTCCTCACATACCTTACGGAGATCTAAGTTATAAAAGATAGCCGAAATCATTCCTATGCTGAAATTTGCACCTGAAATTAGGAATTAGAACCTGCATATGTTTAGTGCTGATTTTATAACAGACTGATACTTCATGTACACAGTATTTACACTGTAGATAAGTAAGTTGTGGAAATGAATCAGTGTTTTTTCTAACGTTTTAACATGAAGGACAATATAAATATTTTGCAGAGATTATCAATCATAATGTCACAACATTTACCTGTGTGCGTCATGTAACATTAGCAGGAAACAGAGACATTTTGAAGTCATACTTAATTCAATACATTGTACACATTTATCCTGGACAACTTGTCAGGCTCACAAACCTGTATGTTAGCAGTTCAGTGACAAAACCCCCCATTCCTGCTTAAATTTGCATTCATGTAGTATAATCTGATGTGTCTGTTGTCTGTGATGAGTTATTGCCTACATGTAGAATTTCAGGCAAAACAGGTAGTTATTATTTGTGAGAAGGCTGTGAAAGCAGTGTGATGGAGGAATTCCAAGCATAGTGCTATGTGACGTTTGATAGCTCTGACTTGTATCTATAATGTGTTTCACATACTTGATGAAGATGGTGTCCTTGTCATTTCACATTGCACCTACTCTGCGTTAACTACATCCTTCTTCCATGTTGCCAAGTATCTCCCCCTAACCCATGTGCATCTGTGTGGATTGATCATCATCTGCAGACTGGCAGCCACACTCCTTATCAGCTTTAGCAAATGGGACTTAACAGTTCCCCGTATCAGGAAGAGACATACATTAAGGTGATGTAATACACTTTTCCTGGAATGTTTAATTTTTTTCCCATAACCGAGCCTTTAACAAAGACGTACAGTACAGGCCAAAAGTTTGGACACACCTTCTCATTCAATGCGTTTTCTTTATTTTCATGACTATTTACATTGTAGATTCTCACTGAAGGCATCAAAACTATGAATGAACACATGTGGAGTTATGTACTTAACAAAAAAAGGTGAAATAACTGAAAACATGTTTTATATTCTAGTTTCTTCAAAATAGCCACCCTTTGCTCTGTTTACTGCTTTGCACACTCTTGGCATTCTCTCCATGAGCTTCAAGAGGTAGTCACCTGAAATGGTTTCCACTTCACAGGTGTGCCTTATCAGGGTTAATTAGTGGAATTTCTTGCTTTATCAATGGGGTTGGGACCATCAGTTGTGTTGTGCAGAAGTCAGGTTAATACACAGCCGACAGCCCTATTGGACAACTGTTAAAATTCATATTATGGCAAGAACCAATCAGCTAACTAAAGAAAAACGAGTGGCCATCATTACTTTAAGAAATGAAGGTCAGTCAGTCCGGAAAATTGCAAAAACTTTAAATGTGTCCCCAAGTGGAGTCGCAAAAACCATCAAGCGCTACAACGGAACTGGCACACATGAGGACCGACCCAGGAAAGGAAGACCAAGAGTCACCTCTGCTTCTGAGGATAAGTTCATCCGAGTCACCAGCCTCAGAAATGGCAAGTTAACAGCAGCTCAGATCAGAGACCAGATGAATGCCACACAGAGTTCTAGCAGCAGACCCATCTCTAGAACAACTGTTAAGAGGAGACTGCGCCAATCAGGCCTTCATGGTCAAATAGCTGCTAGGAAACCACTGCTAAGGAGAGGCAACAAGCAGAAGAGATTTGTTTGGGCCAAGAAACACAAGGAATGGACATTAGACCAGTGGAAATCTGTGCTTTGGTCTGATGAGTCCAAATTTGAGATCTCTGGTTCCAACAGCCGTGTCTTTGTGAGATGCAGAAAAGGTGAATGGATGGATTCCACATGCCTGGTTCCCACTGTGAAGCATGGAGGAGGAGGTGTGATGGTGTGGGGGTGTTTTGCTGGTGACACTGTTGGGGATTTATTCAAAATTGAAGGCACACTGAACCAGCATGGCTACCACAGCATCCTGCAGCGACATGCCATCCCATCCTGTTTGCGTTTAGTTGGACGATCATTTATTTTTCAACAGGACAATGACCCCAAACACACCTCCAGGCTGTGTAAGGGCTATTTGACCAAGAAGGAGAGTGATGGAGTGCTGCGGCAGATGACCTGGCCTCCACAGTCACCGGACCTGAACCCAATCGAGATGGTTTGGGGTGAGCTGGACCGCAGAGTGAAGGCAAAGGGGCCAACAAGTGCTAAACACCTCTGGGAACTCCTTCAAGACTGTTGGAAAACCATTTCAGGTGACTACCTCTTGAAGCTCATGGAGAGAATGCCAAGAGTGTGCAAAGCAGTAATCAGAGCAAAGGGTAGCTATTTTGAAGAAACTAGAATATAAAACATGTTTTCAGTTATTTCACCTTTTTTTGTTAAGTACATAACTCCACATGTGTTCATTCATAGTTTTGATGCCTTCAGTGAGAATCTACAATGTAAATAGTCATGAAAATAAAGAAAACGCATTGAATGAGGAGGTGTGTCCAAACTTTTGGCCTGTACTGTATGAACTAACCAAACCCTGTTTTTTTCTCCTAGGTCCTTACTGACCTAGATGTTGACAGGGAGGGGGCAGTGATGACCCATGACAGTAGAGAGAGTGTTCTGTTCCCCAAATTTGAGTCAAAGTTATGTAGGAAGAGAAGACAGCACTTTGGTCTCTGGTACATTGTTCAGTGTTTATGAAATGTGGATAAAAAAAATCTTCTATTAAAAAAAGAAGACATTCTTTTCATAATCTTTTACTATTACTGAAAAATTAGTTAGTTCCCCCATGATTCACGTTATAAGCACATGAACAACAGTTATGCACAGTATATACTTGTTCACAGTGCCTTGTGTTTCATGCAGGTAGTATGAATATTTTTTATTTAAATTCAGTTTTTACACAGGATACTGTGCTTGTAAAGGCCAACCTGTGTTTACATATCCATCTCCATGCAGTTAACCCTCGTGAGGCACAGCATGATGAGTTGATGTACAGTTTGCATTTCATTTTCGGTACAAAACTGAAAATTTCTTTTCACGCCTGCTGTGCATTCAACCCTTTGCATGCATACTTTTAGGATCCATACCTGTATAAAAGATACCTCACATGGGGTTCATGTTTATATTTTTCATAATCCTACGGGTTGCTTTTTTCTTTATTTTCTTTTTTCACCTCACATTATGTAAAGTTATTTCCAATGTTGTAGTGTGACATTGTAATTTACCTACAGACACTTGACAGTCTGTAATCAACCGAGGAACTGACTCAATGTTCAACAGTATACCCTGAAATTTACTTCTACCTTCAACCCATCTAGCATGAAATATGTTAGTTCCTGCATTCTGACATTTTCTAATGCAGTAAAACTAACTCCCTCCTTTTTGCAGTCTATACACTAAGTTACACTGGTCAGACTTTACATCACACTGTCTACAGTCAGCTATGATGGAAGTAATAAAACCATGATCAAACTGGATGTCTACTTGTTATGGTGTTTGCCAGTCACTAGTATTTATTATGTCTGCAATAATGGGGATTTCACAAGTAATTTTCCTGTGTTCTGTTTTTTGAAATGATATACACCAGGAGTGTCATAGTAATTTTACTTCATGGGCCACATACTGCCCAATTTGATCAGATGTTGGCCAGTCTGGTCAATCCATTGAATATTAAATAACACATTCCAATTTGTTCCCTTTCTTTTAGTGTAAGGAAGTAAAACTAACCTACATTCTTAAAGTATGAGCCATTTATGAACCATTCATTTACAATAAAAGATATAAAAAAGCCTGACAAGTTGACAATGTGAGACTTACATTTAAATTGGAATTACTTCTCTGCAATTTTCACAACACAAACTCAGTCCGTGGGCTGGGCTACAGAAATACATGTATCACAACTATTATGAAAACATGCATGTTTGTATGTCTGTAAGTTTCTTGGCGTGACTGTATAAGCATAATACATTTCATGTACAGCACAGCGGTAAAGCCCTCCGAGCCAAATTATAATTTATGAATTAGTGTTCAATGAATTGATTTAACAAAATAACACAAGGAACATACAGGTTGAGTAACAGAATAAATATTTATTCAACATTATTGTATTGAGGCTGCACCCCTCAAACCTTTAGTCCGGTGGTTCTCAAACTTTTTCATACAAGGGAGCCCTAAACTGACACAAATTAGACTGCGGACCCCCATTTGAGAAACACTGATCAACTGAACCTGATTTTTTTTACCATTTTATGGTCCAAAAAACAGCATCTACACATATAAAACCAAAAATCTGGTCCAAGCCCAAAATGACATCCTCAAATGTCTTGTTTTGTCCACAGGTAAAACATATTCAGTTTACTGTCATAGTGGAGCAAAGAAACCTACCCTTAATGGATAATTGTAGCAGCTAAGGATGCAGCGTTTCATTATTAACCGTTGTTTAAAACACGACGGTTTTGTAACTGTAAGGCTTGTTTACAACAACATGTTGTCACTCTCAAAATATAAAAGGACATTTTGGTTTATTATTTTTCTGTGAGCAACTTAATAGCTTTCTCAAGGAAACTGAATCGAACGCAACTGGACTTTGTATTTGTCTATGAAGACGTTTCACCTCTCATCCAAGAGGCTTCATCAGTTCATGCCTGACTGACTAGATTTGTACCTGAAGGTCTGATCTGTAACTGTGGACTTGGTGCACTGTAACACTTTTCGTACTTGTGAAAATCTGATGTGTAACTGTAAAAAATAATTTAGCTGTAAAACTTTTTCTTTCTTTTTTTCTTTTTCTTTTTTTTTTTTTTTTTTTTTTACTTTTTTTTAAAAAAAAGATTTTTTGGGGGGGCTTTTGCCTTTAATTGACAGGACAGAGTGAAATGGGAGAGTGAGAGAGAGTGGGGGGGATGACATGCAACATGGTTGTGAGCCGGAGTCAAACCCGCGACTGTTGCAGCGAGGCATCGCCTCTTTATATGGGGCACCAGCACGATCCACTACACTACCGACGCCCCACAACTATACAACTTTGATGCATAACTGCAAATCTTTTTCATTTGCTCACAAAATGTCATGCACAGCCACGGATCTCTGTACGGATTCAAAAGTTCAGTGTATTTGTTCGGATATTTTTTTACACATTCACGGATCTGAATGCATTCATACAAAACTTTTTCACACAGTTACAAAACGTTTCCACGTGGTTACAATACATATGAAACAAATTTGATTCCGTAGTGCCTCATTTAAGGTCTTGTTAATGCAGCAGTTACACTCACTCAGGACGTGATAAAAAGAAAACCAGTACCATCATTAACATGACAGGCAGTGAGACAGCTTTCCATCCCTGAATGTTCCTCTTTAGAGTTCAGACAGAAATGTGCTTGCTTTCTTGAGAGAGGAACAGTTTGTCAGAGGAAAAACACCATCTATTATAACAGTTTTGCAAAATTATGCAGTGGCAGAAAATAGAACAGATAAAAAAGCAAAATGTTCTTTTGTCTCCATGAGGGACTTCACAGTTGAGGGTGAACTCTGTCTCTAAGCCTTTTCCTTCAGAGGTGTAAGCGGTGGGAGTGTTTCCAACTGTACACCTACAGCACTGCTCTCTGATACCAGCTCAGTTGGGGGGCTGTCAACCTGTCAACACAACAGAAAGCAGCCCACATGATGTAACAGGCAACATGCTGTCTGCCCCCCAAACCAAACCCATTCTCTGTATAAAAGAGGTGAAAACTATTCAGGATGCAGAATTTCTGTTGAATCTCCTGTGTGGTGGACTTACTCTGTGTTTGAGGTAGGAAAGGTAGGTGTCCCACCCTAGGGTGACGAAGTTGATGTAGACAACACGGAATTTGGGCGAGAGAAAGAAGAAGTTGATTGTCTGAGCGGCAGGCCAAACACAGCAGTCTGCCTGTAGAACAACACAAATGAGCATAAACAAAGTGTGGCTGATGACACAGAGCAAACATTGTAGAAACGGCCACTTTCAGCTGATTGTTAACCAAAATATCTGTTTTAATAATCATTGAGAGGAAACTGCCAGTAAGCTTTTTCACAGACGTTATTATCTTAACGATATAAAAAAGTCATTGCAGAAGTTAGTGATATAATAATAACAATACATTAATACATTAATACATTAACTACACTGCACTGCAAGATGGCTGAACGCTAAGTGGTTTCCTGCTACGTGTGTAGCTAACATGGTGATTACAAATGATTGTTACAAATCAACTATACTGATCACAGTTCAAAGGGTCAGTGGTAACACAAAGAAAGACTGGGGGAACTGTTTGATGCTGAAGGTGAGTAAATATTCTGCAACTTGAAGCCTTAAAACACAAAACAAGCCTGAGAGACTTCAGGAACTCCAGCAGCCCTGCGAGGCTGTGCTTTGGCACATTGCTACTTTTAGCTAAATGCTAATGTCAGCGTTCTAACATGCTCATAATGTCAGTGCTAACCTATGGTGCTAACATGCTGATGTTCAGCAGGTTAAATGCTGACTGTCTTTACTCTCAGTTTAGCATGTTAGCAGTTTACCATTTGCTGATTAGCAATAAACATGAAGTTACAGGTGAGGAAAAGTCAGGGTATGGCTTAAGTCAGTAGATTTCATCCTCAAGAGGTCATGAATAATTGTGCGAAATTTCCTGATAATCCATCAAACAATTTTGAGAAATTTCAGTCTGGATCAAAGTGGTAGACTTTTTTTCTACTTGCGATTTACATAAACACCAAAGGACACAAGCACAGACGAGACATGTAGGCTACAGTTCAATTTACAGAAGCAAATGCAAAAAAAGCTTCAAAGTTAATTTTTTATCTCTGGTTAAGAACAAAGGAAAACTTCTGATGTGATGAGTGGATGACAATGCAAATATATCTGCTGATCCAGATCTACAGGTGAGTCCTGACATGTTATTAGGGTTGTGACAATGTATTGATTCAGTGATCGATGATCCGATATCAAATACAGGGAGGAGGGATTACAACAGTCATAACTGATATGTTATATGTAAGTGAGTGTATCTATATGTTGTTGTTGTTGTTATTGTTGTTGTCGTATGTCATTGTCATTGTTGTAGTCGTTGTTGTTGTTATTATTGTTACTATTATCATTACTATTGTTGTTATTACAGTATTATTATTATTATTATTATTGATATGAGTATTGAGTGAACAAGGGGTAGGACCAGATAAGTGTATACTTCTTCCTACTCCTTTTGAACATGTAAATGAGATGTGAATATATTGTTTTCGTCTCTTTCTAATTGCTTTAATCAATTGCTTATTTTTATTTTATTTTTATTTTCTACATGTTCAAATAAATAAATAAATCAAATCAAATCAAATCATCGATGCAAAGTGAAAACATCGAGCCATCCTCGTCATTAGGATACGCCTTTATTTGGAAATTCTGTGTCACTGTCAGACAGTGCCAGGCAGATAATGGCGAACATACTAAAAGAAGACGATCAGGAATAAATCAGCAGAATGGAAATATTTTGGATTTCTGAGAAAATACACGTGAACAGAATAAGCACACGTGATATGTAAAAAATGCTGTTATGAGATAAAATACTCAGGAAACACACCGCACCTGCCTCGCTTGCATCTCACACGCTAAATTCTCGCTACAGCAACATTAGCTACTCTGTTTCAGCATGCAGGATGAAATTCAACACTGCTGTTGTGTCGGAGCATGCAGTGACTATGCAATGTAAAAGTGCTTAAGCTAAGAATGAGTGCCAAGCAAAAATTACTTGTTTCATCTGTGAACCTTGACACTTATCACTGAGCTGAATGTGATACCTTTGTTAAACAATGTTGTTGGTCATTCATGTTTGATGGCTGTTTGGAGAAGTTTGCCTTCAGGGCTTTGAGCCAGATAGGGCTGAAGTTTTAGGAAAAAGATTATATTTTGGGTTAAAATGAAAAGATTTCCTTCAGAAAGATGAACTTATCCCATGTGCTGTTTTATGTGTGTTAGTGGTGTTAATTTGAAGTAAACTTTGCTGCACTGAATTGGTTGTACTTATTTACACTCATCTATGTGTTGTTTTTATCTTTTATGGACAAAAGCAAAAAAGAAAGGGGTGGCAGCTTCTTCTGTAGCAGTGGTGATGAAACTGGTGATCTACACCCCTACATGTTACTCACCCTATAAAATTCCCAGAACTTGTCTGTAAACTCCTTCCAGCCTTCGGCCAAAGTGTGTCCCTCCATGAGACCCATACCTGCAAGAAACAGTTGTCTGTCAGATGTGCCTCAGCGTCACGCTTCAGTAATAGCAACTTCATCTAAGGGCTGGAGGAGCTCTTATACATCCTTCTCACCTAAAAAATACCACATCCCAAAAAACGGTGAGGCGACCACCTGGTCCACCAGAAGCTTCTTTCCCACTGTTTTTAGAGCTTTACCCACGAACACTCCGTCCAACCAGATGTACCAGTATTGCAACAGTGGGCCCATGGAGCAGCCCACCGAAAACATGAAACCTTTGGGTAAAGGGCCAAGGAAAGAAACGGGAGAATTAATGGAAATGAATGAGTCATTCAAAACACAAATATTCTCCAGAATACAATTGTTATTCTATAAAAAACCTGGAACAGCATCACTTCTCTTGTCCTGCTTTAGAAGCCTTTCTTGAGTATTTGAACCTTTGAACCTCGAGCAATTTAGTGCCATTTCTTTCAAAAACATGGGACAAAAGCTGACTTGGTAAGAAATGTCCCACCAATTGCAAAAAAAAATAAAAAATAAAAAAAAATAGAAAATTAATTTCAAAAGGAGGAAAAAAACAAAACAAACTATATTTATTATAACCATAACATTTTAAAAGTAGGTTACAGAATTATTATAATTTTTAAACACTCTTTCCAGGTCATTACCTTGTTTGTCTTTACCTTTCTTTCTTTTTTTCTTTCTTTCTTTTTACTACTTTTCTTGTTTTAAATTCTCTCTTTCTGCTAATTTCTTGGGTCATTTTTTTCTTACATTGTTCATTGTCTTCTCCCCATGTTTTAAAGGAAATCAAGCCCATTTGCTCAGGTTTCAAAGGGTTAATAGATGGAGATTTGGAAATACTGGTTGAGAGAGTTTGGAATTTTATTTTGCATTGAAAAAAAGAGATTCAACCTCTCAACTAATGCGCCATGGTACTGTATTGTGGGGGTATTACACTATTAGAAAAACATTTTGAAATTTGGTTGCAATGCCATATATCTTGAAACGAACAACAAACAGCTCGCACACCGCAGGGCTCCAATGCTGAAATGTTTAATGAAGTGACGTTTCGAGCGTTATGCTCTTCATCAGACAGTCACCAGTCTGATGAAAAGCCCCCACATTCATTTGGCAGACACTTTTATCCAACACACTGCGCTATGATGACTGTCTACATTTCTTTTCATTGACTGTGAGGCCAGTCATTCAGTCATGTGTAGAGCAGTCACCAGCACCTTCAGGGTTGATGGTGAACTATTCAGACGAAGCAATAATTGCATCCCTCATGCTTTGCTCTTCTTTCTTTCTCACCTGTCCTCCTCCAGTCTCGGACTCTGTCTGGATTCTTGAAGTTCTCCCGGGTCTGCTGCACGATGTCTCCCAGCGCCAGAATGACTCCTCCGCTCAGGGTGTTTGTGGCCAGCAGGGCCCGGCCCTGGAAAAATGGCCGCCAGTTGAACCGAATCCGGACCAGAAACTCTTTACCCACCCGGGGAAGCATGACCTTTGGACTGCAGAGTACGTACTGTCTGTCATCAGCAGGAGAAGCAGCTCTCTGTCTCTCACTGTGGCCAAGTTGACTAACTTCTGAGTTGGTGTTTATCCTCTTTATTTACTCCAACATGTTTCAGCTCAAGGCCATCGTCAGCGTAATCTACCAGTGTTAAAAAAAACACCATGTATGTAGGACTTCACCACAAGAAAGCTGAATGTTTATCAGTTATCCAATGACAGCTGGAGACATAGGTGGCCCGCCTCCAAATGATGCTGCACCGCAAACACAGACACCTCAACACAAAAGTACACAGGTTGGTTAGTCACTGTTTGTACAGCTATTTGCTGTGTATTTAAAACAACAGAAGTTTGTCCACCCACCCAGATCCCCTGGGGGTCTGCCTGTAGGAATTCAAGGAAAGTCAAGGATCCACAGGCATATCCCTGAGTTTTGTGACGATCCTGGTGTTGGTGAACTGTGGTGTTAACACTGGACTGTAGTCAATGAACAGTAATCTCATGAAGCTCCTTTTTTTGACCAGGTGAGATAGGGCGGTGTGGAGGAAGTGTGCTACAGTGTCTTCTGTTTATCAGTAGGGACAGTAGAGAAACTGCAGTGGGTCCAGTGTGCTGGGCAGTGAGGATCAGATGTAATCCTTAACCAGTCGTTCATAGCGCTTCATCATTAAGGTCAGTGCCACTGGGCAGTCATCATTCAGGCAGGCTGGTCTTGTTTTCTTGGGCACAAGAATGACTGGACTTAGGTACAGGTTGAATATCATGGTAACACTGGCACTAGTTGGTCAGTACATAGTTTGACTCATACTGTCTGGTCTTGCTGTTGTCTTGGTGTTCAAGGTTTAAAGGCTCTCTTGATGTCATGCTCAGAAAGGGTGACAAATGTATAAAGTGCACCCACCCATCCAGCTGTTTTTGCTTGTTGACTACTGATGGCCTTAAAGCGAGCATAGAAATTGTTTAGCACACTAGCTAAAGACACATCGGCACTTGACAAGAAGGTGGGGCTGGGCTTGTAATCTGGCATACTTCTTAGACCTTGCCACATGATTCTAGGATTGCTCTCCTGGATCTGTAGTTCCACTTTCCTCCTGTGGTCCCATTTTGACTTTTTACTGCTCTTTTTACATTGTAGGCTGCCGCTTTATTGTTATCCATGTTTCCAGACTGCAGCTGTTAGCTGTACGTTGCAGAGTGTGTGTTGATGGCTTCCTGGGTGCTTCTGGCAATCCATGTTTTCTGATGTGGAGAAATGTTATTATAGTGTTAGGTGCAATTGCCTCTGTTGTCAGTCCTCCAAACAAGTAACAGCCAAGGCTGTGGCATGTTTTGTATGTTTTCCGGTTGTCCATCTGTCTGTCTCATCCTTGTGAAGACGATATCTCAAGAACACCTCAAAGGAATTTCTTCAATTTGGCACAAATGTCCACTTGGACTCAGTGATGAACTGATTAGATTTGAGTGGTCAAAGATCAAGGTCACTGTGACCTTGTCTGTCTCATACTCAACACGACATCTCAAGAATGCCTTTAGGGAATTTCTTTAAATTTAACACAAATGTCAACTTGGACTGAAGAATACACTGATTAGAATCTTGTCATCAAAGGTCAAAGGTCACAGTGACCTCACAAAATATGTTTTTGGCCATAACTCCAGAATTCATATGTTAATTATGACAAAACTTCACACAAATGTCTAATATGATAAAATGATTAAGTTATAACGTTTTAAATCCAACAGGTTAAAGGTCAACTTCACTGTGACATCATAATGTTCAGCATAAAACACTTTTCTGGCCATTACTTAATGTCATATCTCAGGAACAGAGGGAGAGACGACAAAACATGTCTTTTACACCAAGGCAGCAACCTTATAAGATCACACAGCATTTTAAAATATAACAGAAACAACATGATATACATCATTGGAATATGGGTTTCTGTGTGTGTGTGCATATCCTTACACACATATCTTGAGAACTGTTCATACAATCTACTTCACACACACATAATGTATACCTGGGCACCCAAGGACATTGCAGTGTGGACTGAGTTTACTTTGCTGCTTGATGGTGGATTTACTAATATTACTATGGACTCTCTTCACTTCCCTGAAGTCAAGGAGCATAGGCAGCTCCACCCTGCCACTACAACTTAGTGTGTTTAACTATTCTAACTTCTAACACTAAAAACATTACCGTCAGCAAAATATCCTCGCTTATTATAGCCATGATATCCATTAACTCTACACTAACTCTACACCTCAGTGTTTATATCAAAGCAAACAATTAACAATTGGAAATGAACACCTATGCTACGTGTATTTCACCAGTGGTTCTGACCGCGAGCAGCTGGGACTTTGGTGTGTTTTTCAGGGGCAGATTTTGTGATCTGTTGGTATTAGCAGTGGTAGAAGAAGTACCCAAAACTTAGTTTTTCTTAAGTAAAACTATTAATTACTGATAGTAAAACTATTAATACCACATAATTAATGTATTTAAAGAGGCAACAGATAGCATCTTTTCCTAAATATATCATTATGAAAATAATGTAGGTTGCACAGGGTAGTGGCCACAGTAAAATCAGACTATCAGTGTTTACATAGGTTACTTAGTGGCTTTGTAATAAGCTTCTGCAGAGATATTGGATAAAACAAGATACCCCATTCAACTCACTTCCTGATTCAGTGACATCAGCGCCACGCCCCCGTAGGAGACTTGCGGCAGCTCTGAATGTATTATCGTCAATGAGGAAAATGAACGTGATCACAATTTATGGTCAATTCTTTCGCCCTGTAGTCACTAAAGTAAATATTGGGTTCATTTTCCACAAGCTACACATCTTACCAACATTCTGACACTAAAGCTGCATTTTTCATCTGCACAGATCAAGAGAACGTTAACTTTGTTTGAGCCCTGTCTGTCTCAGAAAACAAGTTCTCGCGAGATCTTATAAACAGTTACAAATAGTTATTTACCGCTAGTAATAAATAAAAAAAATGCCCACACACCTTCTCATTCTACAAATACATAGAGGTATACCGGTGGCTTTACAACCTACATTTTATTGATTATCTCTGATCCCCACGGTCAATTTGGTCATTGCGATAGTGCAACGCGACACCACTGACGCTAGATGGCGCCAAGCTAAAAAAAACCCTGAATCCTATCTGTTGCCTCTTTATGTTCATGGTGGAGCTTTCAATTCTAATAAACTGTTTGATAGTTTAATAATAATTATTACCTCCACCAAGGAGGTTATGTTTTTGCCGGCATTGGTCTGTTTGTTTGTCTGTCTGTCTGCCTGTTTGTTTGTTTATCTGCAAAATAACTCAGAACGTTATGAACAGATTTTGAGGAAAGGTGGATAATGGGACAAGGAACAGATGATAAAATTTTGGTGGTGATCGGTTGAAGCAAAGTGGATAAAATAGTAAATAAAGTCTATCGTCTGACAGCCTCAGCAGCAATTCCAATTTCTAAAGATGGTGAAAATAGCACCATCTGGTGGCCGGAAAGCACGTCTTGTTCTACTTCCTAAATATTGTTGTAATTCTAAAGTTGAAGTTAATGTTCTGTGTTGGAAAAAAAGAAAGTGAAAAATACAAAAAAACATATCATATTCTGTGTTGCTACAAATAAAAACGACATAAATACACCACAGTGTCTCCATGGTGAAGGCATATATAACCTAATAATGATAGTGATGCGAATAACCTAATTGTGATGCAGGCTGCAAAATCTGATGCGGGGGGGGGTATCACATACTTGGCAGAGCACTGCACTCTCTGAGTGCTTTTCTAGTTCATCACATTTATTGTGTTTTGATGGTAAAATCTCAATCTGCAACATAAGTAACATTTCTCTGCTGAGTAAATGCAGTAGTGCAATGTTTTCCTCTGAAGTACACAACACAGCTAGGAGGTAGTATACAGCGGAGTTGCATATTTTTTAAGTACTTTTGGACATTTTGTTTGTTATTTTGGGGTACAGTGACTTAGAATAATAACATAATTCAACATTTTTCATATCGAAACAAATAAGGCTGTTTGGGGCCCAGTGCTGTGCACAGACGTTTTGCAGAGCCTGTGTTCAAGTGGAAAAAAAGGGCATCCCTACCACATTTTATTTTGTTTTATTTATTTATCTATTATTTGCACACTCAAAAAATGTACACACACAAAGTGCCAGCACCAGAGGGTTTCTTGAGCTGGAGGCCAAAGTACACACAGAAGATTTATGCACAGTAATAAACAAGGAAATTTCTGTCTGGCTCACGTAAGAGGTGTCTAAATATCTATACTATACACCTGGCAGCTGCTACACATAGACATTCACTTTGTACGATGGTGGTTCTAAATAGTCACCAATTACAATTGAAGCTCTTTCCTGCGACACACAGTGTGATGTTTTACTTTCTGTGCAGCCAAATATCTCCTTTCATGTTTTCAACTCATTTTACTATAATAAACTCCTATTTTTGACTGTTGTTTTAATGCATGTTGTGTCTTTAGGTTGTTGACAGTGTATAAAATTACCTTGCAGAATTTTCCACAAAACCTTCGGTTATTTTTTGTGTACTTTTACATGTTTTAGCAGGTTGGAATGACAAGACATGAAAATAAGGTTGAATTACAATAGAAAGGTGCTGCTACACAAATAAACTTGCATTTATACTTTGCATATTGTTGCTGTTTGTATAACATTAAAAAAATGTTGCAAAACTGGACTGACAAATATACTTAGCAGAGCAATGCAAAGATGACACACACACATTACCTACAGTGAATGTCCCTGTCTTTTTCTTGTTTGACATGAAAATATCAAAGAGCAGTAATTACTGGAAGGTTTGTCTCTCCTGGTTCTTTATTGCTCCATAATTTACATAATAGCTACATATGTTTAAAGTTTCTGATTATATGCCATAAAATGTATAATTTGGACACAAGGTACTACAACAAAGTCATCGCGCACTTTCATGTTACTCAACAATAAAAACAATAAAACAAAAGCACCTTTTCAGCAGTCAGATTTCTTTAAAGGCCTCTACAATGATATATTAAAAATCTAAAAAAAAACACTGGTACGCTAATGATACATGTTATGTTGTATTAGGGGTGCAAATTGGTGGTAAATCTGTTATATAAACACAGCAGCAACACTAAAGATATACACACACACAGTTATACACTGAGCTGATTAATCACCTGACCTGCCAAAACTAAACCTGCCTTAGTCATAAATTGGCAGCTGGAGATATTCACATGTACAGTCACCAGTATAAAACTACTGCAGTCTTGGATCAGGTTTCCACTTACAGCTGCACAATCAATTTAATATAACAAAAAAATAGAAGATCTTTAAAAATAATCCTGTTCTACATTTTCTTTAAACACAAAATCATAATCAGGCATTTGTTTTTATAGCTACCTCAAAGGGACAAACTGAACACAGGGTCATTTGGCATTAAAAAGGGCGCACAGCACAGGTTTATATATTAAGGCAATGTTTGTTCTTGTTAATGTAATAGTTATAAAAACATAACAGCTCTTTCACATCATATATATATATATATATATATATATATAATATATAATATCATGTCAAATATATAATATGTCGAATAAAAGGAATGACACTTGGATGGTTGGATGTCAAGACAGTTTAAATCTTTGAGTGCAACAACGATGCGAGTTTCACATTACAGACACTCTCATCTACCTCTCATCTACGGGGACTTACACTGAAGTCTTGTTAATGCAGCAGTAACACTCACTCAGGATGTGATAAAAAAGAGAACCAGTACCGTCATTAACATGACAGGCAGTGAGACAGCTTTCCATCCCTGAATGTTCCTGCAGGAGTGCACATCATTAAGATATAAATAAACTGACAAATGAGACGGAGACACATTAAAACTCTACAGACATGACGGGGAAAGTGTTCCAGCACTTCCGATTACACATCCACAACTCTTTAGAGTCCAGATTGAAACACGGTTGTGTTCTTGAGAGAGGAACGGTTTGTCGGAGGAAAAACACCATCTGTTATTACAGTCTTACAAATGCAGAGGCAAAAAATAAGTTTAAACAGATAAAAAAGCAAAATGTTCTTTTGCCTCAATGAGGGACTTCACAGTTGAGTGTGAACTCTGTCTCTAAGCCTTTTCCTTCAGAGGTTTGGGTGGTGGGAGCGTTTCCTGCTGTACATCTGCAGCACTGCTGTCTGATACCAGCTCAGTGGGGTGGCTCTCATCCTGTCAACACAACAGAAACCAGTACACACATTACCAATCAAACTTTGACAGACAGAATCGACAGCATGAGCAGAGAAATAGTGGAGAAGAGTTGTAGCTAGAGCGCAGAGTCTGCAGAAAAACACTTCACCACACACTTCCAGTGGGTTTTAATTGATGATTGAGAGGAATTTCTCCTGTTTGAGTCGATACATTATCTTTTATGAGGAAAATCCTGCATAGTAGGGGTGTAACAATGCATGTATTTGTATTGAACCTTTCAGTATGAGGCTTTTGGTTTAGTATGTATTACAAACCAAACGATTCTTCGAACAGCTCAAACTGTGTTTAACGTAATGTTCTCAGTGCCACTGCGCTCAACGACGCAGCCCACATGATGTAACAGGCAACATGCTGTCTGCCCCCCAAACCAAACCCATTCTCTTTATAAAAGAGGTGAAAACTATTCAGGATGCAGAATTTCTGTTGAATCTCCTGTGTGGTGGACTTACTCTGTGTTTGAGGTAGGAAAGGTAGGTGTCCCACCCTAGGGTGACGAAGTTGATGTAGACAACACGGAATTTGGGCGAGAGAAAGTATAAGTTGATTTTCTGAGCTGCAGGCCAAACACAGCAGTCTGCCTGTAGAACAACACAAATGAGCATAAACAAAGTGTGGCTGATGACACAGAGCAAACATTGTAGAAACGGCCACTTTCAGCTGACTGTTAACCAAAATATCTGTTTTAATAATCATTGAGAGGAAACTGCCAGTAAGCTTTTTCACAGACGTTATTATCTTAACGATATAAAAAGATCATTGCAGAAGTCATTGATATAATAATAACAATACATTAGCTACATACATCACAGATTTTCTATCACTTTATGTTCCAGCCAGATCACTCAGGTCCTCCACTGCTTCACTTTTAAATGTTCCTCATGTGTCCCATAAAAGCACTGGTGAGAGCGTTTTCTGTTTTTACGCCCCTTAACTGTGGAATTCACTACCTCTGGATATTAGAACGGTGAGCTCTCTCTGCATTTTAAAAACATAAATTAAAGACCTATCTTTTTAATTTGGCTTTTGATTCGGACAGTGGCAAGCAAAAATACTTGTTCTGTCTATGAACCTTGACAGTTATTATTGTGCTAAAATGTATGCTTTTGTTAAATGATCTTGTTAGTCATCCATGTTTGATGGCTGTTTGGAAAGGTTGCCTTCAGGGCTTTGAGCCAGATAGGGCTGAAGTTTTAGGGAAAAGATTATATTTTGGGTTAAAATGAAAAGATTTCTTCCAGAGAGGTTACCTTATCCCATGTGCTGTGTTATGTGTGTTAGTGGAGTTAATTTGAAGTAAACTTACTGCACTTAATCGGTTACAATTAAGGAGGGTGGCAGCTCCTTCTGTCTGTGTGTGTGTGTGTGTGTGTGTGTGTGTGTGTGTGTGTGTTAATATAATACCATCTCATATCGCTCGCAGGCCCCTGAATGAAATCGATTTGAAATCATATCATGGCAATCTTTGTGATATCTGCAAATATTGTATTGTTGTCCAGATAATCTATATAGTATTGTATGGTGATGAAACTGGTGATCTAAACCCCTACATGTTACTCGCCTTATAAAATTCCCAGAACTTGTCTGTAAACTCCTTCCAACCTTCGGCCAAAGTGTGTCCCTCCATGAGACCCATACCTGCAATAAACAGAGTTTAGTCTGTCAGATGTGCGTCAGCGTCACGCGTCATCAATTCCAACTTCAGATAAGGGCTGGACGAGCTCTTATAAAACATGACTGACACTCATGAACAGAACCTCAGTCAGATCCAAACTGTTTATCACAGACAACCTTTGAACTTCATCCACCTTTGATACTGACACACATCGACTTTTGTCTTACCTCACCTACGTCTTTAAGTACAACCTTTGACTCACTCTGTTTTACGTGTGTGTTTCATAGTGAAACTGCTTATGTGCACACACCTTGACTAATGTTGAGGTGTGTATGTGGGCACTAGGAGAAGAAGGAGACAGGCTGCTTAGTGTCAATAAAATGTGAAGTCTTTCTCACCTAAAAAATACCACATCCCCAAAAACGGTGAGGCGACCACCTGGTCCACCAGAACCTTCTTGCAAACTGTTTTTAGAGCTTTACCCACGAACGCTCCGTCCAGCCAGATGTACCAGTAGTGCAGCAGTGGGCCCATGGAGCAGCCCACTGAAAACATGAAACCTGTAGGCAGAGAAATTCGAGGGACAAAGAAAGAGACTCATAACAATGACAAAATTTAACACATTGCACAACTATTCTCCAACTTGTTGTAGTAAGACTTGAGAGATTTACTGAGTGACAGAGTTCAACTTTTCCCTCTTTCTCACCTGTCCTCCTCCAGTCTCTGACTCTGCCTGGCTTCTTGAAGTTCTCCCAGCTCTGCTGCACGATGTCTCCCGTCCCCAGCATGACTCCTCCGCTCAGGGTGTTTGTGATCAGCAGGGCCCGGCCCCGGAAAAATGGCTGCCAGTTGAATCGTATCCGGACCAGAAACTCTTTACCGACCCGGGGAAGCATGACTGCAGCGAGAGTGCTCTCATCAGCGGGAGAAAAACACCTCTCCGACTCTCTCTGTAGGAAAGTTGATGAACTGGAAGAACCTTCTTTATTTTAATGTGTTTCACCGCAGGGCCTTCATCAGGGTGATCTACCTAAAGTTAAAGAAGAGGGAAAAAAAACCAGACTATAGATACTCTACAAGCAAGCTGAATGTCCATCGGTTATCCAGTGAGGGCTACAGACATAGACGACCAGCCTCCAAATGATGCTGCACTTTCAACACAGCAGAGCGTTCAAAATAACAAACATCTCACAGTCATAAAACGTCTTCACAAAAATAAGAATGTAAAACCTGGGTATTTAAAATCTTTATCAAATAATTGCTAAAATGACTGTAAAGCTCTCGGATGCTAATATCTTCATTCTTATTTGATTGTTAGCTTCTGAAATTGTAAATCCAGATGGCTTCTTTTTGTTTCCTAAGGAAGTCATATCACCACCTCTGGGTCCCAAACTGACCTGATCAATACCAATGCATGATTAAAAAATGTCAGGCTACTGGGTGTTCTAGGTCCTGGGCAATCATCCAATGGGCATTCTGTGTACAGGCCCAGGGGCCCACACCACTTAGGGCCCCATGCAAGCAGCACAAAGAAAATATAGTGGTCATTACAAAGGCTCTGTCTGCTTCATTTTCCATTTAATGCCAGATATTTTCAGACTTGTAGTCAAGTTGTATTCAATTCAATTCAGTAGAACTTTATTTATCCCAAAGAAAATTCTTGTGCCAGACAATGCTTCGAATTACAGTAACACTAAGTGCAGTAACCACAATTTTAACGCCTCACAACCAGTACAAACCAGTCAACTAATGGGTTCTCCAGGTCAGGGTCACTCACTGGGCCCAGTTTTAAAACAATAGAGTATTAAATATCTGGCAAAACATACAAATATATAAGACAGAAGTACAAGAGTTACTAAAAATGAACTAAAATAGTGGAAAAACAGACTGCTCCTGATAATCAATGTTATATTAAATATGATATAACACATGACTGAGAAAATGATATTGCAGTGAACATTATATTAAAGAATAATATTGCACAAGATATTAAAAAGTAATAATATGCATCATATTAAGTAACAGTGCACCTAATGTAGGTGAATATTGCAGTCAGTATCCTTTGTTTGAGCTCTCCTCCCTACAGAAGGGAGAGGAGTTTTCTGTTTGATGGCCACAGGTAGAGTAGATCCCCTGTGGTTGCTCCTCGCTGGTCTCAGTCTACGCCTGAATGTGCTCTGATTGGACTCCAGAGTGGCTTTGTATTGGTTTGGTTAGCCTACTTTCAATGGTGGAATTTAGCAAAGAACATTTATCAAAGTACTGTATTAAAGTACAATTTTGAGGTCCTTGTACTTCACTTGAGTATTTCTGTTTTAAGCTGCTTCATGCTTCTGCTCCACTACAATTCAGGCACATATTGTACTTTTTACTCTGCTACATTTATTTGATAACTTTACCTACTTTACAAATTAAGATTATAAATACAAAATATGAATCACATCATAAATTATGAGCATCTGTTGCAGGACAACACGTCTGAGGAACAGTTTTATCCTTCAGCGATCAGACTGTTTAACTGTAGAACTCACCAGTCTTCTGACTGCACTCTTTTTCCCTGCACTTTAATGGCCTTTATAGTAGCTTCTATTTTAGATTTATTTACTTATCAATTTATTAATTGAATAATTTTAGAGATTTAAATGTGCCGGTTTTAGACGTGAAACAGTATCTTGTTTTTATATTTCGTCATAAAAATGACAATAAAAACAGACATAAAAGTATAGGTTATAGATTACCCAGCAGTAGGTTATATAAGGCAATTAAAATGAGCTCCACCTTTACCTGCTGCAGCATTAATATATCAATGATTACAAATACAGTACAGGATAATAGTACAGGATAATATATATGACTGAAGCAGTCGCACAAGGAAGTTACGACGGGCCCTGTGCACGTTTTCATGCATGTATAGTCTTAACAAAAATATAGACTTGACACTGGACAACATCAACATTCATATTACCCAGCAATCATCATTGAATATCTGAAAAAAATATGAAAGAAAGCAAGAAATGAATTACTTAACTGACTGGTTTTATAGTACATGTATAGATTTTATAGCTTATATAGAAAGAGCACATCATTTTGTTTTAGATAGCTACAGACTATTAAAAAAAAAAAAAAACCTGACGCAGATGGTTTTGACTTTTTGAGGACATACATAGCAAAAGGCACCTAATAATATTCTTTTCTTTCTATCATTTATCTTTGAACACAGGTATATTTCCAAGGTGGCAATCTGAATCACTCGCAAGGGCCCGCTATCTCTACAGGCTCCTCCATCACAGGGGCCCCAGTGCAATCGCACTGCCTGCACTTTTTATATTTACACCACTGGATTGAAGGAATAATGGTTGTGCCTACTTTTACCTTTGGTACCTTGAATATATTTTGATGCTAATAGTTTTATACTTGTCAAAGAGTTTGAATTTTACCTGTAACATACTTTATGCTGTAGTATTGGTACTTTTACTTAAAATATCATATAATACTTCTTCCATCGCTGGTTACTTTTATTTTTCCAGAACTATTCCATGTATGCCTTGTATACTGTATCTGATTTATTAAAGAAAGAATAAAAACCTGACCACCACACCAATTTAGTGAGGTGCCCAGCAAACAATTGTGCCCTGTATGGATGGAGCTCCTGTGTTTACTGATCCTGCCTTTAAATGAATATACTTTAAATATACTTTGTTGCATGGACTGCTTATCATATCAGTTATTTCGTTGTTTAACAGGGGATTAATCTTATCCTATTTATAGGCTCGCCTGTACATCTGCAGATGACACAGACAGAAACTTGTGTAAGAGTTAGGTCCAAAGATCACGCAGATGCTGCTGTGAATGACATTAGCAGTTAGCCATTAGCCATTAGCTAGCATTGAGGCTGCCTGGCTAATTTAAACCAGGACTAACCGCTCGGCTGCCCTCACCATGAAGCCGGAGACAACCGGTTAATGTACCGTTTATTATCATGTACAACTCCCGCACTGACATTCACCTTATGTGTACAAAATAATACTTTTATTTTTACAATGAGCTCAGTGTTTTCCATTGGACTCCGCATGCATCTGACGGACGTTTTCCCCGTCTGAGCCGGTGTCATGAAGAAATCTGCTCCCCCGTAATATGCAGTCCTCCCGTTGACCTAATTTGACCCCAAACACTTAACTGTGCTAAATCTGAACACAACCTTACCTTAACCCAACCACGGATCAGAAACTATAGGGAGAAACACTCGTCCTACAGGAGAGAAACAACACCTGGTCGGGGAACAGACTTTGGCACCAGACCATGCACCAGACCTGTTTTACACAGGATACAGTAAATGTTAAAGCGCCACCTGCTGGTCTGGAGGAACAGTTGTCAAAACAGCTCCATTAAACCTACAGATCATAATTTGACTCAGTGTTTGGTCTTTGTAACACAATCCACAATATCTTCTAGCTTTATACACTATATATTTTTTATTTTTTTCATTTTTTCCCTCTCTTATTAGTTTTTTTTATTTATTTATTTTTTCTTTCTATTTTTCTTCTTTTTCTTCTTCTTCTTTTTTTTTTTTTTTTAAAAAAAAATCACATCGGGATGGGGGTGAGGGAGGTGAGGGGGTATGTGGGGAATCTGTTAGGGATGGGGAGGCTGTGCTTTTAACATGTAAAGCATTTGTGCTACATTTTATTGTATTAAAAGTGCTCTATAAATAAAGATTGATTGATTGATTGATTGATTGATTGATACGCAGACGCAAGAGTGATGAAGACATGAGCAGGTGATACCTCCAGGCGAATACAGCTAACTAGAAATATAAAATTATCCAAAAACTTGGCTTTTTTCCCTCTTTACCTAAAAAAAAAAAAAGATATAGAATATAGCCTATATATTCATTTTGAAGGAGCAAATCTTGTATAACCTAAATAGGACATTTCAAAGTCCTGCATTCAAAATATATCTAAGTAAAAATAAAGAATTATCTTCAACCTCTCTATAAGCAGACGTCCAAAGTGCTTCACAACAACAAGAACAAGAACATAAACAACAACAACAGAAGAGGAAGAAACAGACATAAAATACAGACAGAGTAAATATAAATAATATCAATAAAAACAAATCAAGAAAAATGTGTATATATTTTACTTTAAGCTGGACAAGATGGGATAGCAATTTTAAATTTCACAAATAGGTATTTGTTTTGCCAAGATTTGATTTGTCTGGCTATTTTTAGTCTACTATTGTCCGTACTGGCCTTGTGCCAACTTGAAAATGTCATAGAACATTTGATTTAATCAAATATAGCACCATTATCTGCATTACATCTATTTTCATGAACAAAAACAAATCCCATTTTTCATATTTACATTTTATAACTAGCCTATTATTCCATAAAAATGTAAAACACTACGTTCATCTTCTGTTGTCTCTTGTTCTGTTTCTGCTGACAGAACACTGCTGGTTGATATCTGTGTTTTTGCATCAGTCTACAGGTGTGTGTCTGTGTCAGAGAGACTTCCTCCTGTGTTCCCTCTCTGTTATTACAGAGACTTATGTATAAAAACTAGACCATCTTATCACCATCTATATCTCTGAAATATGTTGTGATTGTTCCATTCCAATGTCCTGTATCTTATTTCAGGTCTTTTTTATTTATTTGGATCCCTATTAGCCACTACAAAATAACTACTCTTCCTGGGGTTCACACAAGTAAACATTACAACATAACGTAAAAATATATATATATTCAAAAATTCAAGGCAAAAAGGAACAACATACTTAAGAAAACAGGAAAACTACAAAAACAATCATCAAAAAATCACTGTTTCTAAATTGTCAGAAATAAAATAATGTTACAGCTCAAAATTAACAGTACTACTAAAAGCAGCATAAACAGTGAGTGAGAAATAAAAGACCAGAGGAGCTTCACATTAAGATTCATACAGTCAGATATTATATGACATCATCTATTTGAGATGGGCTGGTGTTCTGTGCATTCAAGTATTTCTTTAACCTCTTTTTAAAACAGGCTTTGTGTGCTTTCCCTTTAGTTTTTTTTATGATTTATCATTGCAGATATGTTGTTGCTAATTTAATCTCAGTGGAATAATCAGCAGACTTACATTACATACACCAGTATTACTATACTTATCCTTTAATATTCTTAACTATGCTTATGACTGATTAAACTTTTTATTTATTTTATTTATTTTTTATTCCTATAATATTGACAGGCCTGTGTTTTTGCAGTAATATTTTTGTTAATGGGTGGAAACGGCCGCAGTGGTTACTGCTGACCTCCTGATCAATAATTCAGTCTCTCCGGCAGCGCTCATCAATAAAAAATGTCAGGTTGAGTATTTGAGGCGGGGTGTTTCAGGACAGTTGTCACGCTGTGGATTCTGATTGGTCAGACGGACTGTCAATCCTCCACAAAATCCCGCCCACCTGTCATTCAACACTGCTCTGGTTGCGTAAAGATGGTGGAGGTACAGAAACACCGGAAATGTGTCTTTCTTTCACAGTAAAATCATTGACTCGCGTGAAGGTAGAGAACACGAGCTCGTTAAATTTAAAGTAATGTCACTTGAGTCAGTGTCTGTTGGGTGTAGTGACTACAAATTTTAAAATGAAACAGTCTGGAGGGGTGTAGTGAAGTACTAACCAGGCCTCTTGAGGCATCAGGCTACTTTAGCTGCAACCAGTTTTGGCAGTAACCCACTACAGTCAGAAAATTACTTTTTCTAGTAACAAGTAGTTTAACATAACAATTCAATAATTTTATTACAGTTACCCTAAAAACCAAATAACTCATTACAACCTTACTTTTATTATCACCCCTCACAACTGATGTGAAGTCCAGCAATTAATCACATCCCTGGGATTAATTTTTTGTTGTGTATGTACATAACAAAATGGCAAGCTCATTTGGAAGATAGAAATGTTTGCTTTCAAGAAAGAACATTGTTGTTCCAGATTGTGGTACAAAGACACCTTCCACTGAGAAAAACACACCCACAAACCTCCTGAAACACACTGCTGTAAGGAGAAGTACCAGGAAATACACCCCACCAAAAGTGAGCCCTACACTGGCTCAACAACCAAAACTGATTTTTTTTTCGAAGACTTTTTTTGGCTTTTGCATTTAAGGACAGTATAAGCATTAAAGGGGGGATAAAGAGAACAGATGACATGAAGCCTTAGGCTGGGATCCAATCCATGTCCACTACAGGAAACACATTGTCTTCGTACATAGATTGCAAATTTGCGAATTCTAGGGTTGCAAAGGAATGACCTGCCCTACTCTCCCTGTCATTGGCTAGTACTTGTTGCCTTCATTTGGTTGAAGTGGCTAGGTTAATTCCTTTGGGATTAAGGGATTACTTAGGGTTAGGGTACGGAGGTCAGGGTCAGCCAATCTGAAGCAGGAGGTCAGGGTCAGCCAATCTGAAGCAGAATAAGGCAGAATAAGGTGGGTCAGTCCTTCACTAGCCTAGGATTCGTAAATTCGCACATGGGACGCCCACCCACTAAGCTACTGGCACCCCAAAACTGGATTGTAATCATGAGCAATTTCAGGCCACAAGTTAGAAAACTTTAATCAAACGTGTGGCTGGATACGTGGTGGATGAAATGTTGCCTATCTCCATGACTGACTGTTTGCCTTTCAGTCTGATCCTTGGGAAAATACCAGTCATGTGTACAAGAAGCCCTGGCTAAATGCATGGTTTATAGCCTGAACTGCCTTACACAGACGGACACGTGCAAAGTCTGAATTTTGGGGATAAAGGACACAATCAAGAATTTTGTGAGGTGTAATGTAGGCTCAATGTATTATGTCAAGGAGTGTAATGAATAATAATAATAATAATAATAATAATAATAATAAAATAAAGTAATGACATTGAGTTATTATTGAGTAATAACTTACATTTTTTTCATACTAACACACAGAGACTGCATAAAGACAACATACCACAGTCTTCAACCAAACTGTCTGAGGTCGAGTTTAGGCTACATAAAACCGAAATGCAAAAAATAAAAATTAGAATTTTAATTTCTTGGTTTGAGTGAATGAAATCAGAGTAGTAACATTGATTTTTTTTTTCTTTAATCATGTATTGTGATTTTCCTTTTTAAAAACAAAAACAAAAAAAAGGCTCGTCATTTTTAACGGCTTTTATTCTGAAATTCTCCGTCGGAAGTGGTGTTACTCAGCCTCTTTGACTTGACAGTGGTGGTGTATCTGCGGGTGCTGGACGCGGTGGATATCAGCCGGATAGAAATCTATAAAGGTGGGATATCCGTCTTTATTAATCTATCGCATACACATACATGTTATATTTACATTGTGTTGTATATATTGCTGTTGTATTGGGCGCTTCTGTTTGAGTATATACTAAATGATTTCAGATTAATGACCCTTTGGCATAAGATGCTTCAGAACAGCTGATTTTATTGTAAAAAACAACAACACATAAATCCGTCGTAAATGAATGAAATGCATATGTATTGGTGTAATCTGTGAGGCTGGATGTGAAGGCTGCTGCTGGTGTAGTGGATCTGTGGTTTGACTCGGGGCCTGTCCTGCAGGAGAAAAGGCGTTTCACACCGTCCGATGGTTTACCCAGGAAAATGGGTCTAAATGTGTGTGAGGCAGGAACAAAAGAATAAATTCAAACACTTCAGATCAACTAATACAGCAAACCAGGCGAGAGCAGTCATAGCCTGTATGTTTATTTTACATGCATTTTGATCATTATCATGAAATAACGTGCTGGGTCACCATGGAATTACTATTAGTCCAAATATATTAATGATTACAGGCGTATTATTTTATAATCTAAGACAAGAAACGAGCCATATGGACTGTTGTGTTCCTGGGGTTAGGTGAAACATTTAGTCGTAAACCAATCAGATGTAGGTTTGTGCCTTCATGGAAATTGGCGTGTATGTGTGAGCTTCCTACACTGCAACAGCACATTTCACCTCAGAATGAATGGATATGTAATAGGAAAAAAAGGCTATATATACATAGTTATCCTGCACATACAGGAGGAAAAATACATATAACATAGCTCCCAGGTTCCTCAGTATAGGCTGTTTGAATGGATATTATCAGTTGAGTCTATAGGCTACATGAAAGCGTCTGTATGCAGTGTGTGTGTGTGTGCTGATTTCAAAGCTTTACAGCATTGAAAACTGTAATAATGTGGTTGTTGCTTCAGCCTTGTCAGTCAGCAGTTTGATCATTAGAATAAATGTATATTATTGTACAACAGAGCTATATAAACTGTAAGATTGAGACACTTCTTGCAGTGATTTTTCATTTTGCCTGCAGGGATTGCAAAGTTTCTTGTGTTTGATGAGTCTGAATGTGAGCCAACAGTCTGCAGGTCGCATCT